AACTCTCACATCCATACATGACTACTGTTAAAACCATAGCTTTGACTAGATGGACATTTGTTGGCAAAATAATGTCTCTGCTTTTTAATATGTTGTCTAGGTTGGTCATAACTTTTCTTCCAAAGAGCAAGCGTCTTTAATTTCATGGCTGCAGTCACAACCTGCAGTGATTTTGCAGCCCCCCAAAATAAAGTTTCTCACTGTTTCCACTGTTTCCTCATCTGTTTGCCATGAAGTGATGGGACCAGATGCCATGATCTTAGTTTCCTGAATGTTGAGCTTTAAGCCAACTTTTTCACTCTCCCCTTTCACTTTCATCAAGAGGCTCTTTAGTTCTTCTTCACTTTCTGCCATAAGGGTGGTGTTATTTGCATATCTGAGGTTACTTTCTCCCGGCAATCTTGATTCCAGTTTGTGCTTCATCCAGCCCAGCATTTCTCATGATGTACTCTGCATATAAGTTAAATAAGCAGGGTGACAATATACAGCCTTGACGTACTCCTTTTCCTATTTGGAACCAGTCTGTTGTTCCATGTCCAGTTCTAACTGTTGCTTCCTGACCTGCATATAGGNATCTCTAGTCTTTCCCATTCTATTGTTTTCCTCTATTTCTTTGCATTGATCACTGAGGAAGGCTTTCTTATCTCTCCTTACTATTCTTTGGAACTCTGCATTCAAATGGGTATATCTTTCCTTTTCTCCTTTGCCTTTCACTTCTCTTCTTTTCACAGCTATTTGTAAGGCCTCCTCAGACAACCATTTTGCCTTTTTGCATTTCTTTTTCTTGATCCCTGCCTCCTGTACAATGTCATGAACCTTCATCCATAGTTCTGGCACTCTGTCTATCAGATCTAATCCCTTGACTCTATTTCTTACTCCCACTGTATAATCATAAGGGATTTGATTTAGGTCATACCTGAATGGTCTAGTGGTTTTCCCTACTTTCTTCAATTTAAGTCTGCATTTGGCAATAAGGAGTTCATGATCTGAGCCACAGTCAGCTCCTGGTCTTGTTTTTGCTGACTGTATAGAGCTTCTCCATCTTTGGCTGCAAAGAATATAATCAATCTGATTTCAGTGTTGACCATCTGGTGATGTCCATGTGTAGAGCCTTCTCTTGTGTTGTTGGAGGAGGGTGTTTGCTATGACCAATGCATTCTCTTGGCAAAACTCTTATTAGCCTTTGCCCTCCTTCATTCTATACTCCAAGACCAAATTTGCCTGTTGCATATCTTCAAATCTTAAACATCTCCTCCATGTTTCCTATCTCCTTGTCCTTGTGGTATCCTGTGCCTCTTTACATGTTTCTTCTACCATGCTAATACTTTCTTCAGCTGTGTCTAATCTACTACCTAACCTACCCACTGAGTTCTGCTTCAGTGACTGTAGTTTTTATTTCTAAAAATTGTTTTAAAAACCTTGCCTTTTCATACCTGATATTTTCTTATTGCTTTGTCACTGTATCTTCTTTTTTCAATTGAGGTATACAGTTAATTTACAATGCTGTGTTAGTTTCTGGTATATAACAAAGTGACTCAGTTTTTAATATATATATTTATAATTTTTTGCTATAGTTTATTACAAGATATTGAATATAGTTCTCTGTGCTATATAGTAGGATCTTGTTTACTTTATATAGTGTGTCTGTGTAAATCCCAAACTCCTACTTTATCCTCCCCACTCTGATAACTGTAAGTTTGTTTTCTATATTTGGGTTTGTTTCTGTTTTGTAAACAAGTTCATTTGTATAATTTCCTTTTTTAGATTCCACATATAAGTGCTGTCATATGGTATTTGATCTTTCTCTTTCTGACTTACTTAGTACAGTAATCCCTAAGTCCATCTATGTTGCTGCATATGACAATATTTCATTCTTTTTTATGGCTAAGCTGTTTGTATATTTTGGAAATTAAGCCCCTGTTAGAGCACTTGCAAATATTGTCTCCCATTCTGTGGGCTGTTGTTTTGTTTTGTTTATGGTTTGATTAGGTCCCACTTGTTTAGTTGTGCTTTTATTTATTTGATACCCAACATCACCAAATAATTTGAAATCAGAATTAAAAGAACATTTGACAGCTGTGAAATGTATGTTTGTTCTGTTACTTCTGGTCAGTTACACACTAATCTAAGCCAAATTACCAAGTAAATTTTACTTCATTTCTTTAGAACTGTGTTTTCTCGACAACTTTGAACTTGGGGTCTTTAAATGTGAAGTTAGGGAACATATTCATGTCTGCTTTACCATACATTTGCTTAAGCTTAAAAAGCTCTCTGTCCAGTTCTTCCTGACACTCTGCACCAGCATCAGTGGGTCCTCCAGATGTCTGTCACCTAGTTCCATATTCTCTAATCTGCCTATGAAGAGTTTCTGTACAGAATCAAGTTCCTTATTAAATGGCACTGCTCTAACACTGATGTTCCCCCTCAGAGAGACCGAGACTGCAGATTGAATGACAGAGGACAACCTGAAGAGTCTCAAGAATCGTGGTGATCCAGTTACGGACAGGAAGCATGTTGGAGACAGTCTGTTATCGGATGGCTCTCAGCGAGACAGAAGCCAAACACCTGCTTTTATTTCTTCTGCTTTGGGAGATTGACCTAAGAAAATATTGCTACTTATGTCAGAATGTTTTGCCTGTGTTCTCCTCTAGGAGTTTTATGGCCTCATGTCTTACGTTTAACTTTTTAAAGTCACTTTGTGTTTAGTTTTTTGCATGGAGTGAGGCAGTGCTCTGACTTCATTGACTGAACGAGGCTGCCCAGCTTTCCCAACACCATTTGCTGAAGAGACTGTCTTTTCTACATTATATATTTCTGCCTCTTTGTCGAAGAGTAATTGATGGTAGGTGTGTGGGTTTATTTCTGGGCTCTGTATTCTGCTCCATTGATCCATATGTCTGTTTTTGTGCCATTACTACTCTGTTTTGATCACTGTAGCTTTGTAGTCTAGTCTGAAGTCTGGGAGAGTTATGCCTCCTGTTTTGTTCCTTTTCCTCAGACTGCTTTGACAATTCTGGGTATTTTATGGTTCCATATAAATTTTAGGATTACTAATTCCTGTTCTGTGAAAAAATGTCATGGGTAATTTGATAGGGATTGCATTAAATCTGTTGATTGCTTTGGGTAGTATGGCCATTTTAACCAAATTAACTCTTTCAATCCAAGGGCATGCCTTTCCATTTCTTTTTTTTTCATTTTAACAGTTTTTAAAGTAAGCTGTAGACAAGATGACTTTATTCCTGCATCTTCTCAGTTGTTTCTTCCTTGTATTTGCCCTTTTCCTTTCCTACTTGGCGAGATTTGGCTTTACGTTCGAGGATCTTTTTGCAGTCTTTGTCCGGTTTTAGTCTGGTGATGACCACCTTGCTGGGGTGAATGCCCACATGGACATTGGTGCCATCAGCCTTCCCCCGCTGCGCTCGTTCAGCATAGATGACATATTTCTTCCTATAAACCTGGACTGCTTTGTCGATTTGCTGCCCTTTGTAGTGCCCTCATAAAACCTGAACTTCATCGTCCTTTCGGATGGGCGTGGATTGAACACTGTACTTCTGTCTTAGCTCTTTAGAAAGAGAAGACATAATTTTCCTGCGAATGTGGGAAGGCACACTGAAATGCCTTTTTCGATTCTTGCTTTGGTCAGAAGTCACAACGGGACTGAACTTCATTTTGGCCGCTGGCACTTCAGCGATGGCCACAGGAGGGAAGCGCACCTTTCCATCTCTGTAAACCACCTTCAGTTTCCTGTGTTACTGTTTCACAGTTCTCAGTGTGTGTCTTTTACCTCCTTGGCCAGGTTTGTTCCTAAGTATTTTATTTTTTCTTGATGTGATGTTAAAAGGGACTTTTTTTTTTTTTTACTTTACCTTTCCAGTATTTCATTGTTAGTGTAAAGAAATGCAACAGGTTTCTGTATGTTAATTGTACTCTGTCACCTTGATGAATTTGTTTATCAGTTCTAGTGTTTTTGTGTGGACTCTTTAGGGCTTTGCATATACAGTATCATGTCATCTGCATATAATGGTAATTTTCCCTCTTCTCTTCCAATTGGGGTATGTTTTCTTTTTCTTGTCTGACTGCTGTGGCTAGGACTTCCAGTACTATGTTGAATAGAAATGGTAACAGTGGGCATCCTTGTCTTGTTCCAGATTTTAGTGGGAAGATGTCTTATTAATATTTCTTTCAACATTCACACATAACTATTCTCTTGCCTGCATTATCTGGTAGCTTCAATAATCTGCAGTTCTTTGGGGCCTGTATCTGTTCTTTGCTGATTTTGTTAACCCTCGGTCAGTGAGATGCTGTCCTGTGTGCTTGGTGGCTTCCTTAAGTTCACTGCTTTGATCTCGTGATCCAGGGCCACCAGAGTCTAAGTGGGGGAAGCTTTCTTCCAGCGCGCTGTTATACCTGGGAGGTAGCACAGACCCGGATCTTGGCTCTGCATGGGAGTCCCAGGCTCGGCTTCCCACCTCACTTTGGCCCAGGAGCCAGCAGCTCACTGCTGTGGAGCCACTGAATCTACTCTGAGGGGACCTCTGTCCCTACAGGCTCCACGGCCCTGTCACCTGAGCGGACACCATAAAACAAACAGGTACCAACAGAAGCCCCCAAGTTGAGCTACTGTTTTGGAAATCCCAGCCAGCTATAGGACCCACATAATTCAGTCAGGAGTTAATCTAGAGTAGACAGTTCCATGAAGGGGCACCAAACCACAGCCTGGCCACGACAGATTTGGGTCCTGCAGCTGGACCCCCAGAACTTGTGGCCAGGTTACATTACAGTCAGCTTTCAGTAACACGACCTCACTCAGCTTGTTATGGCAGAGTTTTATGATATGCAGAGTATCATCCCCAACAAAGACACCTCTCCCTTCCTATCTGGCAAGTAACCTTTACAGGTGTCTGTAAAGCTGCTGTATTGTGATGTCTGAGGTGTTAGGTCATGAACAGTGACCACTTTTCAAAAGTGCTATGAACGTAAAAAAAAAAACAAAAACAAACTTCTGATACATGGATAAACCTCAAAACTTAAGCACAGGGAAAAATACATAAAATTATAAATTATATCACTATTTATATAACATTTCAGAACAAGCAGAATTATAGGGACAAAAACAACATTGTTGGTTGTTTCTAAGGATGAAGGGCCTGAGGAATCTTTCTGGATTGATGGAAATAGTCAGCATCTTGATAGTGTGGTAGTCATAAAGGTCAGAACAGGTTATATTTGTTATATAACCAAACACTTAAGGGCTGGGCATTACACCACATGTAAACTATGCTCCAGGAAACCCCAGTGCTGTGAAAATGAAGTATAGCAGCTTCAGAGGCACATGTCAGCATCAAGTCTCCTTCCCCAGCCCCTTTCCTTTCTGCTGCTCCCGGAGGCGGTGGTAGACTTCAGGCCTGCACGGCCAGCTCACAGACCATGAGACAGTGTTATCTTCCTGTGGGCCGTGGAGCACAGTGCACAAGCCTCGGGGGGCTGGCAAAAACTGAAGGGCGTGCTACCCACCCTCCAGCCTTGTTTACTCAACTTTTACTCTATGTTCACCCCACAACAGGTTCACTCTGTGCCATGAACTCGCTGGTGCTGGATAAGGTGAAAGCTCAGGCGGAAGGCCCTGCCACACTGCGCACAGCGGAAGGGCTTCTCCCCGGTGTGGATCCTCTGGTGCCGGAAGAAGCCTGACAGGGCCCTGAAGGAGCGGCCACACTCGCCGCATTCGTAGGGCTTCTCCCCAGTGTGGATGCGCCGGTGCTCGCTGAGGAAGGAGCTGCGGCTGAAGGCGCGCCCGCACTCCTGGCAGGCATAGGGCTTCTCCCCTGTGTGGACTCGCTGGTGCTGAATGAGGTTGGAGCTCTGGCTGAAGGCTTTCCCACACTCTTTGCACTCGTAGGGGTTCTCTCTGTGGTGAATCCGCTGGTGCCGGACGACGTTCGAGCTGTGGATGAAGGTCTTCCCGCACTCGCTGCACTCGTAGAGCCGCTCCCCCGTGTGGATCCTCTGGTGCTTCACGGCGTCTGACCTCTGACTGAAGGACTTGCCACACTCAGCACATTCATACGGCTTCTCTCCTGTGTGGATCCTCTGGTGTCTGATGAGGTTGAAGCTCTGGCTGAAGGCTTTCCCACACTCCTTACAGACGTACGGCTTCTCCCCGTTGTGAATGCGCTGGTGCCTGACGACATGGGAGCTGTGGATGAAGGCTTTCCCACAGTCGCTGCACTCATAGGGCTTCTCCCCAGAGTGAATGCTCTGGTGCTTCACCACGTCTGAATAGCATTTGAAGCTCCTGTCGCAGGTGCTGCATCGGTAAGGCTGCCCTTTCCAGGGGCCTCTCCCATCGACTGCAGATGTTGTGTTCAGGGTGACCTCTGACCTGGACACTCTGTCCTCATGAACAGCCGGTACCCAAGGGGAACCTCTGGGCCTCTCTGCAGCTTCCTTATTCCCACAAGGGTCTGGAAGCCCCAGTGTCCGGGAAGGACCCTGTAACAGTCCTGGCGTGGCCTCTCCATGGCCCCCTTCTTTCAGGGCTACCTGCCGAGGCATCAGCCCTGCGCTCTGAGCCCCGTGCTCAGCTGCTGAAGCTGCACAGCAGGAAGCCCAGTGGCTTCCTTTCAATGCCTGGAAAGCTGGAAAAGAGGGCAGAGATACACAACTCAGAAGAGAACTCGGCTAAGGACACACAGGTGGTGCTGGAGAGCTGTGTGCTGACAGAGCTGACAGCAAGATGCCTGTGATCCTGCCTGTCCTGGTCTTGCCCAGTTCTCCTCCACCTCTAACCCTTGTGGTCTCAGGATGAGGGACCAGGAGAGGGCGGTCAGGGTCCTCCCCTGAGACTCCAGAAAAGCCCAAGCCTCTGATCTCAGTCTGCTTGGTCTCAGGCCTGGGGACAGACCCTCAGCCAGGGTCTGGTGACTCCTGGTTTGGCCACATGGACTGGAGCCCAGAGAGCAGTCGGCAGCAGAGCAAAGGAAACAAGGCAGAGGCCCCGGAGCAGAGGGGCAAGCACTGCTGATGGCACACGCTGGGATCCAGCCTCTTCCTCGGACCCTGGGCTCCCCAAGGCAACACTGTGGCCTTGACTGCCCCCGTCCCCCAGCTCAAAGGGCAGAGCCCCCCACCCCTAGGTTGCTGGCATCCAAAATAAAGCAAACTTTACTTTCCATCACCCTTGCCTCTTTATTGGCTTTTGAGGGGGTAAGCAGCTGGACCCCACTTTTGGTCACACTGGTAGCAAGTTGGGAAAGCCAGGGAGGCTGCTCAATGCCCCAGAGCCACAGGCCACCTCCAGCAGAGAAGCCTCTGTCCCAGAGCACCCATAGGGTGGTGCTGAGAAAGCTGGACAGCTGCATGTAAATCAATGAAGTTAGAACATTCTCTAACACCATACACGAAAATAAACTCAAAATGGCCTAAAGGCTCAGATCTAAGATGTGATACCATAAAACTCCTAGAAGAGAACACAGGCAAAACATTCTGACATAAACCATAGCAATGTTTGTTATGTCAGTCTCCCAAAGCAGAAGAAATGAAAGCAAAAACAAATGGGACCTAATCAGACTTACAAACTTCTGCACAGCAAAGGAAACCATAAGCAAAACAAGCTACAGAAATGGGAGGAACAAAAAAAAAAAAAAAAAAGAGAGAGAAATGGGAGAAACTATTTGCAAGTGTTGCGACTGACAAGGACTTAACTTAAAAAATACACAAACAGCTCATACAACTCAATAACAAAAAACCAGCTCAATCAAAAAATGGGCCGGAGACCCAAACAGACATTTCTCCAAAGAAGAAACACAGATGCCCAACAGGCACATGAAAAGATGCTCAACACTGGTAATTATTAAGAGAAATACAAACCAAAACTACAGTGAGGAACGACCTCACACTGGTCAAAATGACCATCACTAAAAAGTTTACAAATAACAAATGCTGGAGAGGGTGTGGAAAAAAGGGATCCTACACTGTTGATGGGAATGTAAACTGGTGCAGACATTATGGAAAATAGTATGGAGGTTCCTTTAAAAACTAAAAACAGAATTACCATATGATCCAGAAATCCCACTTCTGGACATATATCTGGAGAAAACTCAAACTCAAAAGGATAAATGCACCACAGTGTTCACAGCAGCACTGGGTTCACAATCAAGACATGCAAACAACCTAAATGTCCATCAACAGATGACAGGTGTGGTGCACAAAGACAATGCAATAGTACTCAGCCACAAAGAATGAGATGATGCCATCTGCAGCAAACTGGATGGACCTAGACACTACCTTACTGGGTGAAGTAAGACAGAGACAAATACATGATATCACTTATATGTGGAATCTAAAAAACTGATAGAAATGAACTTATTTACAAAACAGAAACAGACTCACAGACCAAAAACAAATTTATGATTACCAAAGGGGAAAGGGAGAAGGAGCAAAGGGGGGAGGCATAAATTAGGAGTTTGGAATTAGCAGATGCAAAGTACTATATATAAAATATTGGTTAAAAAAATAGAGGAAGTCAATATAAACAAAACTGGGATTGGCCAAATAGTTTATTCAAGTTTTTCTGTAACATCTTACCAAAAACCCAAATGATTTGGGCAACCCAATGGATAAACAAGGTCCTCCTGTATAACACAGGCAATTATATTCAATATCTTATTACATATAATGGAAAAAAACATGAGAAAGAATATACATATAACTGAATCACTCTGCTATACACCTGAAACTAACAGCACTGTAAATCAACTACAATTTAAAAAACAAAATTCTTGTTCTCAGAGGTATCCAGGTCAGGGTTCCAGAGAGAGAGCAGGTTGCAGAGTGTGGCTAGGAGAAACGACTCTGCACGCCCAATGCAGGGGGCCCGGGTTTGACTCCTGGTAGGGGAACTAGACTCCGCCTGCCGCAACTGAGAGTTCACACACAGCAACTAAAAGATCCCGCGTGCTACAACTAAGACCCAGCACAGCTGGATGAGTGAATATTATGGAAAAAAAGTGTGGCCCGGAGAGCAAAGGACGTGGGGTTCGGGGAGCACAAAGGCATGAAGGTGGGGCGCTGTGAGTGTCAGAAGCTGCCAGTGACATCTCCACAGCCGCCAGGCAGGTCGATGGGGAAGCTCCAACTCCTAAGCTGTCCTCACATCCCTGAGCTCAGGACAGCCTTCTGGACCGGGCCACCCCATGCCCTCACCTGTGCGTATGTCCATCAGGGCAGCCCTCTCCGTGGTGGTCTGGAGACCCAGGCCGGGCTCTGTTTGCTGCTTCCTGCAGAAATGCCCACAGTGAGACCCCTGCCTGGGAGAAAGAGGAAAAAGGGAAGAAAATGACAGGGGGGAAATCAGAGCTCCTTCAGTGAAGGGAGGTTCAGAGCCTGCCCTCACTATCAACCAAGGTCCTGAATAAGCAGACACTCCACAAACTAGTGGGAACTCTGTCTAGGCCACGCTAGCTCCCCTCACCCCAGCCTCCTAGCAGATGAGGAGCCCAGACCAATGAGGCAGCACCTGTCAGCTGCCTGCTGTGGTCTCAGATCCACGAGGGATGAACGAGCACTTTAAGCAGTCCTTGGGCTTCCCAGGTGGCGCTAGTGGTAAAGAACCTATCTGCTAGTGCAGGAGACATAAGAGGTGCATGTTCGACCCCTGGGGAAGATCCCCTGGAGGAGGGCATGGTAACCCACTCCAGTATTCTTGCCTGGAGAATCCCATGGATAGAGGAGCCTGGCAAGCTACGGTCACGGGGTCACAAAGAGACCTAGCACGCACACATGCATAAATGTCTGGAGACATTTCTATCTATTTAAATTTTTTCTTGATAAAGATCTGAATATAAAAACATGAAACCAAAAAAAAAAAAAATAAAAAGTCATCCGAATGGTGTAATTTTGAATTGAGGAATGCTTTTGCTAAGTGTGACACCAAAGGTGAAGTCTAACAGACTTAACTACACAGGACATTTAGAATAAAAAAAAGATGGAAAAAAAAAAGCCCCAAAAAACCGGGAGAGATACCTGCAACACAGATAAGGATTCATAACCTCAAGATATCTCACTATATATACATAAAGCATGAAAAACTAGTAAAAGTTATGAGCAGGTAACCAGAGAAGAAAATAAAACAAGCAGCCAATATATATATTTTAAACACAGGTCCCACATTGTTCCACGTTGTTGGCAATTAAAAATGAAATTTAAAATATGTTTCAGTCTAAAAGTAGCAAAGGCTTAAAAGCAGTGGCCCTTAGGAGCATTGAGACAATTAGGGAAATAAGTACCTTCACGCACCGTTGGGAGAGGACAAGGTGCCCTCCACTGCTGGTAATTCAACAATTTACAAAGGCCTTTCAGGCAGACTGATTCCACTTCAGGGAACGGGTGAGGCTGTCAGGGGGCCGTCACCCTGGGCGGGGAGGCTGTCCCGGGCCGTCGCGCTGGGCGGGGGAGGCTCTCTCTGGCCCCGACGAGGTTAGGGCCGCCAGCCGCCTCCGCTCTCCTCCGGGACGTGAGCCTTCTCACAAGCGGAGCCCGGGACAGACAAGAGCCCCCGTGCCCGGCCCCCGGGGCCCGTCTCGGTCTCCTGCCCCTGCGCGGCCAGGCGGCCGCACCCCGCCCTCTCGCCGCCGAGCCCCAGGCTCGTCCGCACTCACCCGGAGCCCCTCCGCTCGCGGGAAGCAGCGCCCTCCCCAGCGGCGCACGCAGTTCCGGTGACGCTCTGGGCGCCAGAAGCCCGGCACTCGGCTGCCCTGGGGGACGCGGGCGGCCTCTGGAGCCACGGGGACGGTTGACCTGCGTGCGCGAGTCCGGGCCGGGCTCCCTAGCTTTTGCGTGCACGACCCTCGGCGGTTGTCCGGCCACTTTCACATTCACCGCTCCTGCCCCTACTGGGCTTCCCTCCGCAGACCTCCGGGACGCCTCCCGTGCCCTCCCCTTCCCGCGCGAGCCTCCCCGCCGGCCCCGTGGCCTCCACCGGGTCAGGGCCCGCGGCCGCGGTAGTCACTCCGGATGGTGACCTTGCTGACTGCGCAGTGGGCGAAGGCACGGACGGAGAAGGCCAGCGCTCGTGGAGAAAGCGGGGAGCGCCTGGTGGAAGAGGCAGGCAGAGCCGGAGAGACCCCTGGGCCGCCCTCCCCACGGAGATCCGCCGAGGGCAGGGCGCCGGAGCCTCACGGCGGCTGGTCCTGGCAGGTGGACCCCCTCCTCCCTCCTGCCCTGTGTCCCTGGGCCTGCCTCCCCGCTGGTCCGCAGCGACCACACACTTGAGGGCTTTACGATCTCACGGTGTCCTCAGGTTGCACAAGCCGGGGCACAGCCTGGCGAGTCCCTTCCTGGAGTCCCTCCTACGTCCAGGTGAGGTGTTGGCCACTGGGGTCTCCCATGCTGGCTCACGAGCCTGTGGGCAGGATTAAGGACCGGAGGACAGGCGTTCTCTAGGCTCCATAGGCGAGGTGGGGCTGCAGCTGTGGGGTCGTGTGCAGAGTGGATCGACACAGGGTCTTGTGTTGAACCCTGGCCAAGAAACCTTTCCAGCGTCAGCCTCAGACACAGGTCTGGGCCTGGGCGAGGGGTGTCCTGTGCCCAGTGTGGCCCTGTGCTGTCTCTCCGTGCTCCGGGCACTTTCCTTTAGACACTCCTGTATTGCTCCTCAGCCACCCCATCCTAAAACCTTTTGAGACCCCCACAGTGCAGAGAACCTTTGAAATGACCCTAGCCACTGGCACTATCCCTCTGCTCTGTCTGGCAGCCGCCCCACACTCTCAGCCCACTCAGCACCCAGGCCCAGTGGGTGGCCAGCAGCAGGCCTCCCCTCCCTCAGCCCGTCGCTGGCCCCTAGCCTTCACCCCTTCTCCAGTCTTGCTTCTTCCTCCAGCTCTTCCTGCTGTGAAACCAGTCACCAGTCCTTGACCTCGCCCGGCTGGCTCCTGCCTGGCTCTGAGCCTTGGCCCATTCCCTTCCCTTCCCTCATCACTGGACACAGGCCATGCCTCTCCCGCTGCAATCCTGCAATGATGTGTCCTCTGGGTGTCACGTGTAGTGACATGGTGTCCACCAACTCGTCATTGGCTGGAGGTCATTTCGATCACATGGTCACTGCTGTCTGGTTTTCTGACTGTGGGCACCATGTTTCCCCTGCAACTAATAAACCATCTCTGGGGAGAAAAGAAAGGCTGAGGAACTGCTCCACACTGAAGATTCCTAAGGACACATCGCAGTCAGAGACAAGATGTGACCCCGCTGGATACTGGGTTGGAAGGAAAATACCATGGACAGGATGAGAGGCCCCACTTGGCTGGGCGTTGTGTCGGTGTCCAGTTACCCGGACTTGGTACCTGCACTGTGGGTCTGTAAGAGAACATCCCTGAGTGTAGGAAACACACACTAGAGGGTTATGGGGCTAAGAGGCATAATGGATGCAATCCATTCTAAAAAGATTTGGGGAAAGAAGAATTTGTGTAGATATAAAAAGTTAAAAGGTATGGTTCTGCTATGTGATGTGCACTAGTGTGATTTCTTTCTACTTTTCTGCATTTCCCAAATTTTCTACAAGATATTCTGTTTATATAAGAGGGATAATGGGCTTTGTCAAGTTTTATCAAACAAGTGAAGTCCTAAAAAAAAAAAATGCAAAGTCCTGAGAAACAGAGCTTGTGGATGACCTTGTAGAAATGGGTTAAGCCTGTCTGTTCTGCAGGCCCCAGAGGAGACCATCAGCCGCACACTGAGGCTGCCTTCCGATGGGGCCAAAGAGGCCGACGCTGCTGTCCCAGGACGCCGGTGGTGGAGGCTGTCCTCCTCCAGACGTCCCCACGGGGTCCCATCATGTGTCTGTCGCTTCCACTACCAGGTGCCAGAGCGAGCTTTCTCATTTGGGCTCTAGCGACAGCTTTCTCGTGGGATATGCACTGGTTTTTCTTCCCCAGCAGGATCAGGGGTGCCTCTGGGGGGCCTGTTTGCTTCTGCTTGAGACGCCTTCTTTCTGGGGAGTGCCCCTCCCCTCTCTTCCTTAGATCATTCTGGAACCACCAGCCTCCCAGGATAGGCCTGTGACCTGACTCTCTATGGTTTGCAAAGCAGCCGGGGGTGGGGTGGGGTGGGGGTGGCGGGAGACAGGGCTGTGTCCTCTGCAGCCTGGGCTGAGATGGCGTCAGACCTGAGCAGTTGGAGCCTGAGGCCACAGGGGCCTGCAGAGACGAGGGGTGGGCAGGGGACAGAGACCTCCCTGACAACCAGAAAACTCAGATTCCTGGGGTTCCAGTAGCAACCCCCTGACCCCATGTGCTACCCGAGCCAGTGTCACTTGCTCTGTGAGTGGGTAGGGGGTCCACTTGGCTTCCAGGTCCAGGCTCTGGGCCCCAGAGAGCTGGCCAGTGCCCAGATGAGTGAAGGGGCTTCAGTTCTGCCAGGGCTGGGCCAGCCCGAGGCAGGGAAAGCTAACTCAGCCTGGCCACAACCACACACGGGTCTGTTCCTCCAATCACATCCCCTGGGGAACAGTGCAAATCCCGCTCCTGCCTGCCCTCAGCCACACTCTCCTTGGAGAGCCCTGCCCTGGGTCCATCACCTCTTCTGACATTAACAACAGAGAGAGAGAGAGAGAGAGAGAGAGAGAGACCTGGTCAGCGCCTTTTTCTGCCCACCTTCCACCTTCCAGGGCCCAGTCAGTGGAACAGGCACTACTGGAACGCTGCTGCTGGTCACTGCAGGTGCAGGACACAGAGGTGAACGAAGCCTGCTGGCTTTCCCAATTCCCTTTTACTGCCCAGAGCGCTGGAGCCTGCAGACCTGCCACGGTGCTGGGGTGGGGTGGGGGGTGGGCGGATGGGTGGTGGGGGGAGATGAAGGAGCCAAGTACAGAGGACAGGCTTTCTGGTGGGCAGCTGGGCAGCAAAAACGCCAGGAGGGGAGGGAACAGGTGGTTTGGAGCCCCACCAACTGCCTAGACATTACCTTTTGGGGCTCAGAAACAGCTTCAGAACATGAGGGCAGAGGGCAGAATACATACATAAGCCAGGTGGCCCAAAGGGCAGAAGCTGGACCATCGCCAGCATCCAGAGTACCTGCAGCCTGCGACTCTTCCAGCCCTGGACTCCCTGTCATCCCCGGGGGCCCCTCTGGACACTCTTCCAGAATCTCCAACAAACGGGGCTCCCTCCACCTGTCTCCCACCAGCCCATCCTCAGGAGTCTGTGTCTGAGGCATTTCCTGCATCAGTAAACACTGAATACACGCCCAGCCGCGCACTGCATTATTTATGTGTAACATTGTAAAAATCAGAAAGTGCGTGTAAAAATGAAAACATCTCAAAAAGTTGACCTAAAAACTAGAAATAAGATTCAAGACATATCTTAGGGGAAAACCTGCAATTTTCTGAAGGACCACTCTTCCCAAAAGAAATACTCCAACCACGCAAACCCCATCTCCCGCACCAGAACCTTCCCTCCCACTACACACCAAGTAGACACGGGGCCTCACCTGAAAACATGACCGTCCCGCCACGGCCACCATTTCTCACCTATGTTCTCCAAGCCAGGGACTATGCACTGCATTATTGGACCAGCTCCATGACCAAAAAGGACCCACGAGGCTGAAAACACAGTACAAACCTCAAAATACAGTTAAGAGTTGATCCAGCTAGACTGCGATTCGGCGCCCCCGCACGGTCGGCGCCTGCAAATTTTGGGTAAAGAAAAGAGTTCGTCGTCCGCACATATGCAAAGCCCACTGGCCGCTTGAAGGGTGTGTACCGCAGTGTTCTTTCCCATTGCCTGACCCCTGGTCTAGGCCTTTCTCAGGGCTGCCATCAGGGGGACCACGGAGCTCATTTCAACAGCGTGTTTGTCAGATCTACCGGAGAGTGAAAGGGCCCTGCCGCCTTGCTGCGACCTCCCGTCCCGCTTGCCAGGGGGAGCCAGTGGGACTCTGTTCGCACTGTTACCGGGCGGCCCAGGGGGCAGTGAAGGCCTGGCAGGGCGGCGGGCGAGGGAGCCAGCGCAGGCGTCTTAACCGGGGTGCAGGTGCCCGAGCCAGCTTCAGGGCGCGTCTGAGCGCAGCTCTCCCCACGCCTGCACCAAACCACCGCAGGCGTCCGCAGCGTCTCCAGCGCCTTCCGGTGCAGGGTCACCTCGGTGCAGCAGAGGCCGCAGCGCGCCACCCCGCCACTGGCTGCCTGGGTTCACTCTGTCATGAACATACCTGCGCTGGCTCAGGTGTGAGTTCAGAGGAAGAACCTGCTCACTCAGCACAGCGAAAGGCTTCTCCGCGGTGTGGACCCTCTGGTGCCGGAAGAAATCCCACAGGGCCCCGAGGATGCCGCTGCACTCAGAGACTTTTCCTTGGTGTGGATACGCGGGTGCTCGCTGAGGAAGGCGCTAATGCTGAAGGCGCCACGCACTCCTGGCGGCTCCTCCCCGGGGTGGCCCTGCTGGTGCTGAGTGAGGCTGGAGCTCTGGCTGAAGGAAGGGCCGCACTGCGGACACGCAAAGGGCTTCTCGCTGCTGTGGAACTGCGGGGCCTGCATGACCTGGGAGCTGTGCACAAAGGCTTTCCCGCGCTGGCTACACGAGATGGTTTCTTGCCAGTGTGGATCCTCTGGTCCGACGTCCACCTGAAAACCCTCCTGCATGCACTGGCCGCACTGGTGAGACTTCTCCCCACCTGGAAGCTTCTGCCGCTCCAGGCCTTGGTCCGCGCAGGGAGGCCTTGCGGCCCACAGGCCGGTGGAGAGCTGGTTCCCGCGCCGGGGCTCCCCATGCCTGCTAGATTCGGAGTGGCTTAAACAGCAGGGCTCACCACTCCCAGCCTCCCTCTTGTGCGGTCTCCTTGGCAGGTCACAGGCTGGCGGTGAGGCTGGCTTTGCTTCCGGTCTCAAGGTCTTGGCTCCTCTCCTCCTCCTGCCCCTGGTGCGAGCAGGTCTCCTGTGGCAGCCCTGCCAGCTGGGAACCCTGATGGCTTCTGCACAGTCCGGCAGGTCCCTGGCCCCGCCGCTGGAGACTTGAGACTTGTCCCCTGGACACACTGGGGTTCTGCCTTCTCTGAGGTTTCCTGCCCTGGAATCTCCTCCTCACTCTGAGCTGAAGCCAGAAGGGGAGGCAGCAGATGACAGCAGCCTCTGAACCGGAGCATGCAGAGACCTGGGGAAGGCACGTCATCTCATTTAATTCAGGGAACAAGGGAATTAAACCCCGTTTCTGGGGTGGGGTTATGCAGGGATCAAGGTTAGGGGGAGGAAGGGAACAAATTCCCAAAATATTTTTTTTTCATCTTGTTTCTTTCTTTTTAAAAAATGTTTTTCAACATGTTATTTTGTATTGGGGTAAAGCCCATTAACAATGTGATAGTTTCAGGTGGACAGCAAAGCGACTTAGCCATACATATACAGGTATTAACTTTCTCCCAAACTCCCCTCGCATCCGGGCTGCCACATAACATCAAGCAGGATTCCCTGTGCTGTTCAGTAGGTCTTTGCTGTTTATCCATTTCAAATGTAAGGAGAAGGCAATGGCAGCCCACTCCAGTACTCTTGCCTGGAAAATCCCATGGACGGAGGAGCCTGGTAGGCTGCAGTCATGGGGTCTGGAAGAGTCGGACACGACTGAGTGACTTCACTTTCACTTTTCACTTTCATACATTGGAGAAGGAAATGGCAACCCACTCCAGTGTTCTTGCCTGGAGAATCCCAGGGACGGGGGGAGCCTGGTGGGCTGCCGTCTATGGGGTCGCACAGAGTTGGACACGACTGAAGCGACTTAGCAGCAGCAGCAGCATTTCAAATATAACAGTGTGTACAAGTCGATCTCCAACTCACTACCTGTCTCCACCCCTCCCCACCCCCGGCAATGTCCTTAAAGAAACGGAAATCTGGGAGCCCTCCTAACCACTTCCGGTCTGGGGCTGCCTGATTCCAAATGATTTTTGCTCAAATAAACTTTTAAAATTAAAACAAAAAAAATTAAAAGATCTGTTAAAACCTGTCTTGCTTGAGGACTAGCCTTCAGTTTCCCCTGAGACCCGGAATCTGGCTGATCCTTGGGACGAGGCGGCAGGGCAGCGGGGAGGAGATTGGGCCGTACACTGAATGACAGATGCCGAGGACTATGGCCAAAGGGACACAGCCCGGCGCTCGAGAGGGGAGTACCGTGTCACTGGGTCCCCCCCTCCAGAAGAGGAGAGCCTGGCCTGGTGCCCTTGGCAGGAGGAGTGGGAGGTGAGGTCACAGCGGGTGACGTCGTGCTGACCCTTGGGGAGGTCTCAGGGAAACACACCCCAGCGGCGCGGATGGGGCCGTGTCCGGGGCCTCCCCGCAGGGGCGCAGCGGCCCGGACTTCACAAGCTCCGCCCGCACACTCCCAGACGAGCTTCTTCCAAAGCGAAACCCGGCCTCTCCCGGGATTGTCAACTCCTCCAGCGGACTCCCGAAAATGAGAGAGAAGCATGATTTGGGAACCTGGCCTGCGGCCGTCCGGTCCCTGGGCCCACCGGGCGGGGCGGGGGGGGGGGCCTCTTGGCGCACGGACGCAGCTCTGCGGACTGTGGGAGGAAGGCCCGCGGGGGCCGGCCGTGACACCGCGTCCACCGCCAGCTGGGCCGCAGGGCCGAGGGACCCGCAGCGCCCGCGGGAGCCGGAAGCGCGCGCCGCGCCCACAGCGAGCCCCGCCCCGCGCCGCCAGCACTTCCCGGAGCTCTTGGAAGCTCGGGGGGCCCGCGGGGAACCCGGCCAGGGACAGAGGTCTCCGGAGAGGCGACCCCGGGAGCCGCTGGGCTGAGCCTGCGAGCCTCGGGACAGTGGACCTGCGCGCTTCCCTGGAGCTGTCCGAGGTGCTGGGTAGCAACTCGCCGTGGGGCCTCGAAGAAGCGGGCGGTGAGACAGAGCCTGGGAGGGAAAGGGCAAGGAGGCTCGGCGCGTAGGGCCCTAAGCGCGGTAGGAGAGACTCTGGAAAGCAAGCAAGCAAGGGACAGCACCCAACTCGTGACTCCAGAAGACTCTGGTGGATGGGGTTGGGAGGCGGAGGCGAGTTCTGGGTTGTTGGGGCGGCCCAGGGGAGGAAGGGCGCGTGCAGGCTCGGTCTGAGGTGAGAACGTTACTGTCCGCGGCTGAGGCAAGTCCACGAACCCAGCGCTTAGGAAAGAACCGCAGACGCGAGTAGACGGCCTCTAGCGTGACCACCACCTTCAAATCCTGAGGGCTCTTCCTCCGCTGAGTACAGCCAGGCTATGACAGGCCCAGAGGGCAGAACTGGGAGGGCTGGTGCTGGAGGGCAGACCCCTGGCCTCAGCCAGGCAGTCCAGCGGTGCTGGCCCCCTTCCAGATGGTGTCTGAGTAGGGCTGGGACCGTCGCCCATGCAGAAACACCTGCTTTGAGGGGCTGGGTGAGGCCACAGGCCACCAAGCCTGGCACACTGGGGGTGTTGGAGCTAAATCCAGATTCCCTTGCCCCACCACAGGTCTACTGAATCTGTCTTCCCTGATGTGGGGTCTGGGGATGTTTTTCAGCAAGCTCTTACCCCGGCCTTGGAGATGCTCCTTTCTCAGGAGTCTGGGTCCATCCTAACCCCTCGTCCAGTTCAGACTTATGAGATACTGAGGTAGCCCCATATGGAATGATGCATTGCAACTGACAAAGACAAGCACATGGACAATAACGGTATTGAAAATGTGGGCAGAGGAACTTGTGGTTCTGTCTGCTCATTCCAGCATCCTGCCACCAGCCACCGGTGTGACTTTGAATCAGGCTGAATGGCAATCTCCGAGCCCATCTCCCTGGTTAGAGCCCCTAGCCCAGGGATGGACAGTAAGTGGCCTAAGACCCCAGCAGAACCCCTCTGGACTGTTTCCCTTCCCCTCTAGTGTGTAAAATAGAAGCAATAGATCTGGGGCTCCTTTGAGCTCTAGTCTGTGTCCCAGAGAGAGAGAACACCCATAGGAGGAGGAATGAGGCCAACTCTACAGCATCAAGTATGATCTTATCCTTGCTAATGATGATTAATTTTATGTATCAACTGGACTGGGCCACATGGTGTCCAGATATTTGGTCAAACATTATTCTGGGTGAGATGGTCATCTGAGTCAGTAGACTGAGTAAAGTGCTGGGGCTTCTCACCTTCATGTGTGAGAGACTGAATAGGACAAAAAGGCTGAGTAACAGTGAACTTCTCCTTTCTGACTGTTGAACTGGGGTATCAGTCTGGTTCTGCCCTTGAACGTGGACTGAAACACTGCATTTTCCTGGGTCCTAGGCCTGCCTGCTTCCAGACTGGAGCTACACCATTGATGCTCCTAGGTCTCCAGCAGCGCCCACACAGGTCTTGGGGTGTCTCAGCCTCTGTAACCTCAGGAGCCAATTCCTAACCTACCCGTCTCTCCAACTGCCTCTGCTTCTCTGGAGAGCCCTAATATATCTTTTTTTCCTAATTAGAAAACACATTTGGAGAGATTAACTTGTCTAACCTTACAGTTAAGTGTAGAGTTGGGCTTTAGATTCCAGTCGGTTTTCATACCCTGCATGGTACACTGCTTCTATTCGTGTAAAAATAAAAACCCCTGTATCCAACTGAAATCTCCAGGTTTAGGTCCATTTTTGTTATTTACTGACCCACATGCACATGCAATCTGCACCACCCCCTGCACAGAGCCCAAGATGGTGATGAAGTCAGCTCCTGGGCCTCCTCTTGTCTCCATCAAGTACAAAAAATTTATTCGGGACATGGCATGTGATGCCAGCTGCGCCAACCAGGAGGGCGCGCAGGCAGGAGCCCGCTGCGGGAATGCTGCCTCAACCCCAGGCTGCTACCCCGCGTCCCCAGCGCCCGCTACTCCCGGTAGTGGACCCTCTGGTGCTGGATGAGCTGGGAACTCTGGCCGAAGGCCTTGCCACAGGCGCCACAGGCGAAGGGCTTCTCGCCCGTGTGGGTCCGCAGGTGCCGGAAGAAGTGCGAGCGGCCGCGGAAGGCCTTGCCGCAGTCGGGGCACTCGTAGGGCTTCTCGCCCGTGTGGATGCGCTGGTGCTCGATGAGCACCGAGCTCCAGATGAAGGCCTTGCCGCATTGGCTGCAGGCGTATGGCTTCTCGCCCGTGTGCAGCCGCTGGTGCCGCACCAGGTTGGAGCTCTGGCTGAAAGCCTGGCCGCACTCACCGCACTCGTAAGGCTTCTCCCCGTTGTGGATGCGCAGGTGCTGCGTGAAGTGCGAGCTGTGGCTGAAGGCGCGGCCGCACTGGCCGCACTCATAGGGCTTCTCACCCGTGTGGATGCGGTGGTGTTGGATGAAGCCCGACCAGCCACGGAAACGCTTGCCGCACTCGTGGCAGGCGTAGGGCTTCTCACCCGTGTGGATGCGCTGGTGCTTCAGCAGGAGTGAGTTGTACTTGAAGCTCTTGCCGCAGGCCTCACACCTGTGCGGCTTCCCGCCCCGCGGGCCGCCCTGCTGGGTCCCGAGGCCCGAGCCCCGGCTCAGGCTGCCCGCCAGCTCGACCGTGCACCCTGGGCTGCCCTCCGTTCCGGAGGCTCCCTGCGACCCGAGCCAGGTGCCTCTCTTCTGGGAACGGGGCCCGGCCCTCGGTGGCTGGCCTGCTGGCCGCTCCAGGCTGGGCTCCTGCCCAAAGTGGTCCCCAACCCCGGGTCTGCGGGGAAGGCTCCTCAGCAGGGTCCTCAGCACGCCCCCAGCCTGGTGCACCTCATCTTCAGGACCGTGTGGGCAGGGAGATGACAGGGCCTGCTCTGGCTCCGACTCCGAACCTGAAGAGAGAAGCAGGAGAGGCAGACGGCTCTCAGTGGCCGTCCCTCACGGAACCCCGTCGCACCCCGGGTGCCTGCGCCAGGGTGGGAGCAGATGGGACCTGCATGGACTGCTCAGGGGCGGGGCAGACAGGAGGTTCAGACTCGGAGCCAAACAGAAAAGCCCCTGCTCCCAAGGCTACTGCCCTGCAGGGGCGAGGCTTCCAGCCGGGAAGCCAGCAGCTGCCGCTCTGTCCTCCGAGGCAGCGCCTCTCCAGGCCCCTGAGCTGCTTCACGGACCCCCAGGGGACACCACAAGGGCTTCCCTGGGGGAGAGGCGGGGCAGGGTGAGGCGGCAGAGACACGGAGGGGCTGAGCGCCTGGGTGGGTGAAGCCAGGTTCAGGCCTTGGGGAGAAGCGGATAGGGCCAGAGCTTGATTTAGGGGGCAACCGGAGAGGGGGGGATACACTGGGGGAAGGGGGGCCAGGATGACTCCCCGAGCGCCGGTCTGGGGTGGCAGCGATGCTAGGGCAGACGCTAGCTGGACAGGTGGGGGCTACAGGGGCCGGGGCAGCACTCACAGCCCAGACAGTGGAGGCAACAGGATGGGTGTCAGTGGGTACAGGCTGTGGGGGATGGAAGTGCTCTGAGCCAGGGACGAGAGAGGCCTGGGGGCCTGGCTGTGTGGTGGGCACACAGCCCACCTCGCTCCCACAGCCTGGAGCCTGGCAGGCAGCAGCCATAGGTAACTGGTGCGGCCTACTCACTCACCTGACCAGCAGGTGTCTCTGCAGATCCGGGCCTCCGCCACGTCCTGGAAGTCCAGGTCTGATGGCCCCGCCTCCTGTGGGGGCCCAGAGGGCACCTCAGGGCTGCCGCTGGGGAACCCTGGGGGTCACAGTGGGCCTGGGCTCATCTCCCCTCCTCTGGAGGCTCCTGAGAGCCATAACGGGTTGGAGGGTTCAGGAGATGGGTGTGTGAGGGGCCCCAAGACACCACATGGTTGCACTGCAGTGGGGGAGGTGGGGGGGCCGGGCCTGGAGCACCGGCAGCTCTGGGCTGCTGCCCTCAGCCGCTGTCACTCAACCACCCAAGCCTGGGGCTGGCTGGGCGTCCCGCTAGGTGGACAGCCTGCTCATACGGCCGCATCCTGACACAGCCTCTCAGAGCTCAGCACTATGCCCCCCTACGCTGGGCACCTCCAGGGTGGCTGTGATGGAAGGGTTACAGCTTGGCCTGAAGGCAGGCCACTCTTAACTAGCAACAGTGACAGGCCTGCTCGACCCTGGCCGCGGCCCCCAGGCCTGAGGCTCAAGTGGACAGCGCGCTACTGTGGCCGCTGCTCCAGGGGGAAGGCAGTGGGTGGTTTTTTGGCTCAAAGTTTTCCTTGTAAAACAGCCCAGAAAGTGCACTGTTGGGCCTGGACGCACTTGCAGGAGAGGAGCAGGGGGGTGGGGTTGGCCACTGGCCACCTGGAGTTGTCTCAGGTGCCAGGTCAGGGGCACCTCTACAAAGACTGCCTCCTGGCCAGGGGCCCCTCCCTCCTCCAGCCGGTGAGCCCCAGGGGTCCAGCCCTCCGCCTGCAGGGCATTACTCCCTGAGGGACTGCGCCAGGCCCGCCGCCCAGCCCAGTGGAGCTGGGCGTGGCTCCGCTTTAGTCTCTGGGAGCAGCGATCAAAGAGGGGCCGCGCCCTGCCCTGCGCCTGCACCGCTCCCCCAGCATCCCTGCCAGGGACCAGGCCCCGTCCCCTCGGCCCATGCTGCTCCCTGCCCCACTCCAGCTGACCAGGGCTTCCCTTCTAAGGACACCCTCTGGCCTTCCCTGGCATCCAGCACTGTGCTCAGCTGTAGGTTCAGAAATGGTCCTTGAGGTGAGGTGGGGTGGGTTTGGGGGGGGGTCACTGGGCTCAGGCCTGGCTGTGTCTGAGGGTCCCTCAGGCCTGCCAGAGTGGATTCCCCGAATGCTCTTTCTGGCCCATCTCACCAACCTGGACCTGGGAGTTGGGAGGCTGGGGGTCCAGAAGTCCTGGCCTCACTGGCTGGAGGGCTCTGGGCAGGTTCCTGAGATGCTGGGGTCTTTCCTGCAGAGGCCTCTGTGGACCCCTGAAGAGCGAAGCCTCAGCAGCAGAGGAAAGGCTCGAGAGCCTGAGGGGTTCTCTCGGCCCTGGAAAATAGCCTGGATGCAGTGGGGAGGGGTGAAGCCCCACTCCCTCCTATTGGGCAACCCTCAGGCACCTCAGGGCACCTGGACATGGCTCAGAGCACCCAAGACCAGCCTCTGGGCCTGTGCTGCCCGTGGCTGGGCGAGATTAGGTCGGGGCAGCCCTGCTCTGCAGGGGCTTGGGGACCAGCTTTCTTATCCTCAGGACAGCCCCTCCTGAGTCCTGTGTCCTGCTGGTCTGCCTCCTCGGGGAGAAGCTATGGCGCGCTGGGCCCGCAAGGGCATTGAGGGCAAGTGCTTGAGTCAGGCTGTGGGGTCTGGCTTCTGCTGGTCTCCACAGCCTCAGGTCTGGGCTTCCAGGTCCCCATCAGATATGTGGCGACAGGAGGGCCTACTTGCCAGGCTGGTGTGAGGGTGACATGAGGAGCTGGAGGTGAAGTGCAGGCCCCCAGGGGCAGTGTGGGGGCCCTGAAACCGCTGTGTGGGCAGAGGCAGCTGGCTCTGCCAGCCCCACACAGGTGTGTGCCCGGGGGGCAGGGTCTGGGCTCCTTGCGGACAGCACCCAGCTCCACACCCACTGCACGTGCCCCAGCCTGGCCGTCACAGGGCACGCTAGAAGCTCCTACTCCAGTCCTCAACTGACCCATTACCTCTGACTGCGTGTGACCTCAGGCCGCCCCTCGACCTCTGTGGGCCTCACTGTCCTTGTGTGCTAGCGCCCACCCCTGGCTTCCTCTGGCCCCACACAGAGCCCTCAGCACACAGCTGCCACCCAGCATAGCTGGTGCTCAGCCCATCTCAGCTGCCATAACATTACTTGCTCTAATGCCAGGACCTGCTAAGAGTGAGAACCCTGGGCACAGAGTGGGCCCTGGGCACACTGCCAGCTCTTCAGGACAGCAGCACAGGCTCAGACTTGCCCTGAGAGCAATGGAACACATCTGGGCCCCCATCCAGCTGTCACCAGCATATCTGTGTCCTCCACTGTGAGAGGAGTGAGGCCAGGCCTCCTGTGGAACGTGGGACAGGGAAGGAAGCCCCAGACTCTGATGACTGAGTGTGAGCAGGGTCCGGGGCACCACATGCCACAGGGCTGGGGCATCCTCCCCAACCAGCTGCTGGCTATTCTACACGTGGACACCCCAAGATCCTGCTGGGGGCTGGAGCAAGGTTGGTGGCTCCATCTCCACAGGGGTCCCCACCCAAACCAGCTTGCCCAGATCTCTAAACATTATTTCCTGGCGTGGGAGCAAAGGCTGGGAGAGACAAGGTGACTTGCTTCTGTCACACAGGCCTGGCCATCAAGGCTGCTTTTTTTGCAGCACTGATCCCCTAAAGAAACACAGTCCAGGGGACTGTCCCCTAGGGAGCTACTGCTCACACAGCTCAGCCCAAAGCTCAACCACCACTGCCCGAGTCCCAACCCAAGTACCAGGGTGCAGGAGCCCCAGTGCCCAGCAAGCTGCCTGCCCGCAGTGATGGTGCAGGGAGGCAAGTACCATGTTGATGACCGTGGAGGTGGAGGTGAAGTTGGGCTTCATGGTGGTGGGCTCCAGGTGTCCCGGGTGACTCGAAACTGACCGGGGACAGGACATGAGGGGGCTCCTGACCATCCCCCAGGGCCGCCATCTTCCCCCAAGGCCTGCTGAAGGAGTGCACACCGGGGACCTGGGAAAATGAAAACCATGGCAGGATGAGGGGGTGAGAGGGATGTGCCAGGGGTGGGGGGTGGCAATCAGCCGCAGGCAGAGCCTCCCTCCCGGGGTAAGGGATACCAAGAGGTAACCTGTGGGGCCCAGAGTGTTGGAGCTGTTCGTCCCCCCAGGTGCACAGCACCAGCACACCTGCAAGAACAGAATGTTCTCCCAAACCAAGGCCTTGCCCATGGAGAGAAGCAGGCTGTTCTTCCAGAAAAACCTGTCACAGCTAGGGGCCGCTGGCTCTGGGGAAGACAAAAACTAAACCCTGCCTGCTGGAGCATGAACATTCCAGGCTAACTCTCAAGGAGATTCTTCCAGAGAGGAAACCCTCCACGGAGCCCTCAGAGGCCGCAGACCTGGCCCCAGCACACCCTGATGCTCAGTCTCCTCCGGGTCAAAAACACCCTCCTTTAATCTGCTTTGCAACAACCGCTTGGACCAAGGGGAGAGTTTTTCTTTCACACTTTAATGAAGTAGAAGGTCTTATCTGGGGGTGAAAAAAGGGCAGGGGAAGGACCAAAGTTAACGTACATCCAGCAATGGTGCAGACAGTACCTGCTTCAAGTAGGCAGGGAGGCAGCAGCCACAGGGCTCCTCCGGGTCAGCCCCCACCAGATCTCAGCCCCTAACGATGGCAAAGGTCACCGGCGGCTAGGTAAACTGTCACAGGGCGGGGCTGCAGTCCTGAACCTGGGTGCAGGTTCTCATCCCTTCTAAGACCCATAGTTAAGGTCCGGGGAACTTACCCGGGCAAAGGCACGGCCACCCCTACCTGGGCTGTCTAAGGGGAGGTGGCAGTCACACATGGACGCAAACCCTCCACCTCCACGCTGCTGTGACAGGCTGAAGGTGGAGGGGACACAAACAGCCCTGGCCCGGGCGCGAACCTTGCCTACTCTCTCTTCCCCAGCTTGGAGCCTGTGACCCGTGGGAAAGGGCCCGAACTCCGGGCGCCTCGCAGCAGAGAGCAGGCAGCCCGGGCTGCGTCCGGCCACCGACCTCGGGCCAGAGGCGGCTCTGAGCTTCTTTCCCGTCTGCAGAGTGGGGTCGCCACAGCTCCCGTCCCCGGGGTTCCGGGAGCGTGGGGAGGCGCCTCGCAAACGGGCACCCGCGACCGTTCGGGGACAGTGTGCCCGCTGCGGACCCCACCCCCGGTCGAGGCGGCTGCGGGGGCGGGGCCTAGCCCGCGGGGACAACGCAGGAGAACCAGGGGGGGCTAGGAGCCCTGGCAGCTCCACCACCGCTGCCCGGTACCCACTCACCTTCCTAGCCGGAGGTGGCCGCCCGGGCGCCGGCCGGAAGTGCACCGGCGCCCCTCCCCGCCCGGCCGCGCGCACTTCCGGGACACTCTGGGTGCTGGGAGGACCACTGCCTCGGTGACCTCGCGGGGCGGTGGACGGGGCATCGCGGTGGGAGGGGAGTTCCTTAACCCGTGCGGCGCCGGCCGGAGGCCGGGACTTGGTCCGCTGCCGAGTGGGGCTGCCGCACAAGTATCTTTGGCCTTTGATCACCGGAGCCCGCAGCCTGTTGAGGTCAGTCGCCCCAGGTTCGTCTGCTGAGCTCTCAGTCCCCGGTTGCACACGCTTCCAGAGCAGCGCGCGCCTGGCAGGGATGGCTCACACATATTCTACAAGCACAGTTCTTATAGTCACTGGAGTGCTCCCGTCCGCAAGAAGAAAAGTTCCACCCAAAGTATCTTCGGGGGTATCTCTTTCCCTAGCATGGACGGCCATCATTTGCTAGGGAACTTGCTGAAGACAGTCCTCCTCTCTTTTTGGGGTGTCTCAAATGCCCCATAAACTACCCTGCCATTGAAGTGTGTTCCCAAATTTTAGGACCTGAGGAGTGTTACAGATTTTCCCATAACCTTTTCGTGGAATTCTTCCTGAATTTCCTGATGTTCAGTAAGTCTTCTTCTCATTCCGGATCTTACAGCCAGAAAGAGAAGTGGACTCACTCTCTCGTTGGGAAAAGCAACAGCTGAAAGAGGACTCCATGAACATCCACCAGGGGTGGATGTCCAGCGGAATTGCTTCCCCATGGCCACCTCTGAGTCTGGGCAGGTACAGGACAGAAGACAGAAAGAGAGGAGCCACAGCCCCAGGCCTGAGGGTTTCATCAGGGAGAAGGAGACATCTGGTCCCAGGTGGCTGCCACGGCAGCAGAGAAACTGGGTGACCAGGGACATGTGAAGGACCAAGTGTGTGGGGAGAGGCCTTCCTTGGTGGGTGGTGAGACCAGGATGAGAACTGAGAAAGAGGCTGAAGCACACCTGGAGCTGGAGAAAAAGGTGCCTGAGAAGCTGATTCTTGCCCCAGACTCGAGGTGAGTCCCAGCCCTGTAGGTTCTGGAAGGGTACCCCCTGCCCTCCTCTGCCTGACCTGGTACCAGGTCCTGAGTCACAGGCTGGGGTACAGTGTGGAACAGGACAGGTCCCTGACTCCAAAACAAGCTGGACAGTGGTCTTAACGTCAATTTGGAGCCTGGGTTTCATTCTTCTTGTACCAGGAGCCACCAAACGTCCTGAGCAGGGAGTGAAGAGTGCATTTAAGATCGGTTCAGGGCAGTGGGGAGGCAGGAGAGATGGGCGAGGTGGAGAGGAGGCTGGGGGAGGGCGTGCGAGGGACAGAACTGACCGTATCCGCTGCTGGTTGGGATGTGGGTGTGAGGACACCTTAGGGTTCTGGCTGGAGTGTGGCTGGTGGCTGCTTCCAGAGATGGGAGATGGCTGGGGAGGGGGTGCTGGTGATGAGTGTGCACACAGCCCTCCAGTGTGCCCTCCCTGATGGTGGACAGAGGTGGCTGTGGGCTGGACTTTCACCCATCCTCTTCTTCATTCTGTCCTGCTCCTTGTTTCAGAGGGATGGAGGCAGGCTTCTGTTTCCTATGAGGGTGGGGAGACCTGAGGGGATCTAATTACTCTCAGCCAATTACCATTTTTCTGCCCATCTCTGCCCCAGGTCCAGGGCTCCTGGGCCCTGCCAGCCTTCCCAGCCTGAATGGGCTTCCGTGCATTCAAGCGCACAAGCTTCTGCTGAAAGCTGCCTCCTCTCCAGATCTTCCAGCAGGACATCTTCCAGGTGTCCTTAGTTGGGGGACATTGGCCCACGGGCATGAGAGGTGGCTGTGCAAGCAGACAGCCTTCACTGCCTCTCCCAGGAAAACAAGAGAGACCTGAGAAAACAATCACGCAGCCAGTCTATAATCAGCCACTGGCTAAGAGCGGCCACGCCAAGCTCCTTCCTTCGGATCCAGGCTCAGCACCAAGGCATGAGGGCTGCTAACCGTGTCTCGGGGCGTCATCTTGATTTGTCTTGTGAACCCTGAATGAGATGTGTTCTAACGAGGTAGCTGCCTCTTTGCTTTCCGCCGTTTCAGCTTTGGAAGGTGTCACAGGACCATGCTGCTCTGGAGCGTGGGGGACCCCACCCTGGTTGGCAACAGGATTGTGAGGAAACAACCTACTGTTTGATAGGGTGTATGTACTATGATGAAACTATGGGGGTGGACCATAGCCCGCCCGGCTTGCACCCACTTCAGGAAGCAGGGGCCACCAGGCGCCGAGCCCTGCCTGCTGGAGAGCTGCTCTTGCTTCTCCCCATATGCACCCGAGTGACATGCTGTTTTCTCGGCTTTGCACAAGGTCATAACTGAAATCGTACTGCGTGTCTTCCTGTCTGTGCAGTGCTGTGTCTGAGACCCGCAGACACTGATGCCTGTTTACCCACTTCAGCGTAAATACTGCTGTAGATGTCTCTTTAGGCCCATGTTCCACAGTTCCTCTATGGCGTGTCAGCAAGTGATGTTTCTGGGTCAGCAGGTAAGCACATCTTCAACTTGCCAGAAAATGCCATTTTTGTTGCTAAAATGGATGACAGCTTTAGAAAGTTGCATTTTGTTACTAGCATATCAAATTCAACAGACTTTTTTTGTTGTGATTAAACAATATATAATATTTATTATTTTAACCAACTGTAAGTAATTCAGTGGCATTAAATATTCCCAGTGCTGTGTGCCTGTCACCCCTACCTAACAGAAACAGTACCTGTCAAACCCTCAACGTCCTCCTCCCACCTGGTAACCACTTCCTACACATGTGCCCGCTGCAGGGCAACTGATCTATATGAACACACACAGCGAGATGGGACTCATGTAAGTGGGGTCATACAGTGTTTGTCCTTCCGTGCCTGGCTCTTACCCTAAGCATCATCTGTGTTGTAGAGGGTGGTGGTACTCAGTTATTTCTATGGATGAATAGTATTTTGTTGTGTGAATGGGCCACAGCTTCTTATCCATTCCTCTGTTCAGTGAATTATGGTTTTCTCCGGATATATGCCCAGGAGTGGGGTTGCTGGATCATATAGTATCTTTATTTTTAATTTTTTAAGGAACCTCCATACTGTCCTCCACAGTGGCTACACCAGTTTCCATTGCGCCCAACAATGTAGAAAGGTTCTCTTTCCTTCACACCCTCTCCAGCATTTATTATCTGCACTTTCTGATGATGGCCATTCTGACGCAGTGTGAGGTGATACCTCACTGTAGTTTTAATTTGCATTTCTCTAATAATTACTGATGTTGAGCATCTTCTCATATGTTTGTTAGCCATCTGTATGTCTTCTTTGGAGAAATGTCTATTTAGATCTGCCATTTTTTGACTGGGTTGTTTTTTTGATACTGAGCTACATGAGCTGTCGGTATATTTTGGACATTAATTCCTTGTCAGTTGAATCATTTGCAAATATTTTCTCCTATTCTGTAGCTTGTGTTTTTGTTTTATGGTTTCCTTTCTTTGTGCAAGAACTTTTGTTTGATTAGGTCCCATCTGTTTAGTTTTGTTTTTATTTTTATTACTCTAGGAGGTGGATCCAAAAAGATATTGTTGCAAGTTTATGTCAAAAAGTGTTCTGCCTGTTTTCCTCTAAGGGGTTTATACTATCTGGTCTTACATTGTCTTTTATCCATTTTGAGTTTATTTTTGTGTATGGTGTTAGAGAATGTTCTAACTTCATTGATTTCCATGTGGCAGGCCAGTTTTCCCAGCACCACTTACTAAAGAGACTGTCTTTTCTTCATGGTACAGTTTTCCTCCTTTGTTGTAGATTAACTGACCACAGATGCATGGGTTCCGGCAAGCTGTATTTTCATTATCATTCAGGTTTAAGTATTTTATAACTTTCATTATGGTTTTTTCTTTGGCTCAGGTTACTTAGAAGGTTTTCTTTTTCTGGAATTTGAGTTTCATTTGAAAAGCAATAGCCAACAAAACCATCAAGATAGATTTATATCTGAAGGATGTGGGGTTCAGTGCTTGGAGGTAGTGTGGTGTCACAATGGTTAATTCAGAAGAAATGAGAAATGAGACCATCAGTTTGTACCAAACACCAGGCGGCAGAAGAGCCGGTGGCTGATTGTAGGGGCTGTGTGATTGTTTTCTCATGTCTCTCTTGTTTTCCTGGGAGAGGCACTGAAGGCTGTCTGCTTGCACGGCCACCTCTCATGCCTCTGGGCCAATGTCCCCCCACTAGGGACACTAACACGTGACCAGAGCTGACAGAGGCTAAACTGGGGGTCAGCGTGGCACTGAGGTCACACACAGGCAGTGACCAGGCCGAGCACCGTCAATGCTCCGATGTCTGGGGAACTGGAGGCACAAGGAGGTGAGAACCGGCCGAGGCCCCACATCTCCAGGCATGAGGGTGAGCCGGTGACCCTGGCTCGAGGGACTATGCTCTTTGCACCCGCTTCCTTTCTGGAAATCAATGACATCAGATTAGAGTGTTTCTTCTCTTCTAACAAACTGGTGAGATTAAAACTCACCTGCTGTCTATGAGCTGCTGGAGCACCTTTGGGCCACAACCCGGAGGGAAGTATTTGCCAGCAAGATCTCCATCTGTCAGTCTGTTTCTGGCAACCCATCATTGGCCCTAAATGTGGAAAAGATATTTCCTGCATTGTTCATAGTGACCTAAACTAGAAAGAGCCTACACGTTAGGAAATGGTTAAGTCGGCTTTTTATTTAACGGATCATTCAGTCAGTCAGGCAGTTCAGTTGCTCAGTCGTGTCCGACTCTTTGCGACCCCATGAATCGCAGCACACCAGGCCTCCCTGTCCATCACAAACTCCCGGAGTTTACTCAAGCTCATGCCCATCAAGTTGGTGATGCCATCCAGCCATCTCATCCTCTGTCATCCCCTTCTCCTCCTGCCCCCAATCCCTCCCAACATCAGGGTCTTTTCCAACGAGTCAACTCTTCACATGAGGTGGCCAAAGTACTGGAGTTTCAGCTTCAGCATCAGTCCTTCCAATCAACACCCAGGACTGATCTCCTTTACGACGGATCATTAGGTAGCCACAAAAGCTACAAAAGCGCTTCCTATTTGTAATAATATGGGAGACACACTAACATAGAGAGTGATAATTTTTCTACAGTACATGTGATATATTTCCATCTATGGTATTAATGTGTGTTATACAACATCTTATATACAACAATATTTTATATGTAACAATATACTCATCATGGGATATTATAAACCATAATTAATAAAAAACAAGCCAAACCCCCAGGACATATCACATATCCTTCATCTAGAATCAGCAGAATCTGGCCCACCACCTGCTTTGGTAAAATAAAGCTTTACTGGCACAGAGCCGTGCTTGTTTGTTTCTGTGGCCTGACTGCTGTTGCATGTCATGGCTAAGCTGAGTTGTGACAGAGATCTTGTGGCTACAAAGCCAAGAACAGTTATTATCTGTCCTTTAACAGAAGGTTTGCCAAGGTCTGCGCTGTTACTCACTCAGTGTCTGTGTACTGTTATTGCTTCTTTGCTCACCCTTTGAGAGCAAACTGCAGACATTGTGACCTTGTTCTGTGGCCCTGAAGACCACAGCGGACATCCTTCATGACAAGGACATTGTCTGAGATGGCTGCAGGCCATCAAACCAGGGAGCTTTGAGCTTTGACATTGATGTCCCCCTCCCCCACCACCCTCTGTGGACAGTCTAGACCCAAGGTTTGCCAAATGTCCCAGTAGCATCCCTTACAGCAACCTTTCCCACCAGGATCCCAGGTGTGTTTTCCCTAAGCCAGCCCCCCGGCACCTGTTTGAACAATTCTGCCTCATCACATCTCCAGTTCTGGGACTGTGCCAGCAGGATCACAGTGCCAGGTTATGCCCGGCCACACCTGGGGCCGGGCTGCTGGTACAGGAGAAGGGCCCACTGAGCTGTGGAATGGAGGTGCCTGGTGCAGGCAGAGCTGTTGTAGTGCTGTAGCTTTTAGAAAGAACAGCACTCTTAACCTGGAGAGACGTTTGCACTGGGAGTACTCTCTCCTGTCTTCTGATGGAGGAGGCCCTAAGACCAGGGTCATTATTAGTTTTCTGGGTCCAAACAGCTGAAAATGTAGGTGTCAACATTTTACTGATAAAAAGCTGTATTACTTCCTGGATGACAGGCCCCTCATCTCTCTGGCCCCTCATCCCTCTTATACTGTGCCAAAATTCTGGGGCAAGCCACACCCCCACCCAGGAGAGCATGAAGGCCCAGCCAGACCACTCCTGGAGGGAAGACAAGGGCAGGCACGCACATGGATGTGCAGGATGTGGGACAGAACCTGGGAGCCAGGCTTGGAGAAGTGGAACTCACCTGAACGGAGAGCTGGCCTTCTGTCTTGTGTCTGAAAAGCTGCAATGCAGGCAAAAGCTGGATCCAAGCTGCCATCAAGATCCCAGAGCCGACGTGGCCAGGGCAGGAAGTGCCCATGGTGGCAGCATTTAGTGTCCTGAGTGGTCCACCTGGTAAGCCAGGCTGCTCAGCTGGGATGGTGGTTGAGCCGGGAAGACACACAGGGAGTCCAGTTCCTGGGGATGGGAGCCAAGTTCAAGGAATGGTGCTCCAGCAGAGGAGGGAAGGCACCAGGACAAAGCACCCCACTGCCGGCACAGCCAGCCGAGGTGGGGGGGACAGTGGGGTCCCCGGTGCTCACTGCAGAAGCACTGCTGTCCAGCCCAGGGACACAGGCCTCCTGCCAGGCTGCACAGAGATGGACTCGGGACACAGTGGGCAAAGGGTCTGCTTCTTCCGTGGGTGATGTTTCCGATGGCGAATGAGACATGAGCTGTAGGCAAAGGTCTTCCCACACTCCTTACATCCATATGGCTTCTCTCCAGTGTGGGTTTTCTGATGTTTCAGGAGATTGGAACTGCAGTTAAAAGCTTTGCCGCACTCACTACATTTACAGGGCTTTTCTCCGGTGCGACTCCTCCGGTGCTTGGTCACGTCAGAGCTGTGCCTGAAAGTCTTCCTGCACTGGGCACACCGGAAGGGCTTCTCTCCAGTGTGGACTCTGGTGATGAAAGTGATCCGTCTTGTGCTTAAAGATGCGCCCGCATTCGCTGCATTCATAGGACTTCTTCCTCTGGAAGCGAGTGAACATGGAACTCCCTCAAAGTCATCTTTAAACGAAGCATCAAAGGCCTCACACATGTGCTCCTCATTCTCAGGACTGAGGCGGGCTTCCTTCCTGTGCTTTTGGGCCAAAGTGGGGCTCTGGTTTGGCTCTTCTTTCCCAGATGCCTTCTCTTCCTTGGCAGTGTCCTTCTGCACGTGCACTTCTGCCTCTGGGGTCCGGGTCTTATTTTTTTTTGCCTGTGGGCTTTTCCATCCTTGTTTTCAGGGCAGAGGAAGGCCCCCTGGAAGCCGGCAAGGGTCAAGAATGGTCAAGGGCAAAATCCTCTCGCCTACGAATTCCCTTGTAAATTTACTTCTTCAGAAAGGACTTTATTTTTCCAAGCTTGGAACTGAAGTTCTGGAACAGAAGAGTGCCAGCAACCCTTCTGAGGCTGGAGAGAAACAAGACCATGAACTGTTAGATTAAGTGAATGTCTGGGAGGAACTGAGTTACAAAGTGACAGATGGGCAGGGAAAGGGGTGGCAGAGGCATGCGGACAGGGCCCCCTTCTTTTCTTGCTGGTATATGCCACCCAGACATCTCATGTTTCAGGCTGGACATGACCAAAGAACTGATTTCCCAGAACACCCCCACTCCAATCTCACTCTTCCGTTTTCCTCACCTGGGTAAATGTCATCATTCACTCAGTTACTCACCAAGGAATTCTTTTTTTTTTTTTTTTATTTCTTTGGCTCTGCTAGGTCTTAGTTGTGGCATGCAGGATCTAGTTCCCTAAGCAGGGATTGAACCCGGGCCCCCTGCATTGGGAGGGTGGCATCATAGCCACTGGACCACCAGGGAAGTCTCTAACCAAAGAATTCTTATTCCTCTGCCAGGGGTGGCATCTCCACACCTGTGTCCAGCAGGATTCATGTGCACCATGGACCAATGACTGCTGTGTGGCCCCCAATTGTGGAGTTTCCCTGCCCTTTATTTGCTCCTTCTCCACTTCTTATATTTGGGACCAGACTATGTGCTTCTAGAGCTACAGGCCATGAGAGCCATGTGCGACCCTCACAGAAGGTACTGCCCATCAGTTCAGTTCAGTTCAATCACTCAGTCATGTCTGACTCTTTGCGACCCCATGAACCACAGCACACCAGGCCTCCCTGTCCATCACCAACTCCTGGAGTCTACCCAAACTTATGTCCATTTAGTTGATGATGCCATCCAACCATCTCATCCTCTGTCGTCCCTTTCTCCTCCTGCCCTCAATCTTTCCCAGCATCAGGGTCTTTTCAAATGAGTCAGCTCTTTGCATCAGGTGGCCAATGTATTGGAGTTTCAGCTTTAACATCAGTCCTTCCAATGAACACCCAGGACTGATCTCCTTGCAGTCCAAGGCAAGGGACTCTCAAGAGTCTTCTCCAACACCACAGTTCAAAAGCATCAATTCTTCAGCGCTCAGCTTTCTTTATAGTCCAACTCTCACATCCATACATGACCCCTGGAAAAACCATAGCCTTGACTAGACGGACCTTTGTTGGCAAAGTAATGTCTCTGCTTTTTAATATGCTGTCTAGGTTGGTCATAACTTTCCTTCCAAGGAGTAAGCATCTTTTAATTTCATGGCTGCAATCACCATCTGCCATAATTTTGGAGCCCCCCAAAATAAAGTCAGCCACTGTTTCCCCATCTATTTGCCATGAAGTGATGGGACAGATGCCATGATCTTAGTTTTCTGAATGTTGAGTTTTAAGCCAACTTTTTCACTCTCCTCTTTCACTTTCATCAAGAGGCTCTTTAATTCTTCTTCACTTTCTGCCATAAGGGTGGTGTCATCTGCATATCTGAGGTTATTGATGTCTCTCCCAGCAGTCTTGATTCCAGCTTGTGCTTCCTCTAACCGCCCATCACCCGGATGAAACTCGCTCCCACCCTCACCCTGGCCCTCCTGAGTCCATCCTCCACCCAGCAGCTAGTGAACCTCATCACATCCCTGCCAAATCCCCCATGGTTCCCCTCACACTGCTGCCCTGCCCCTTCCCAAGCACCCTTAGGTTCACCACACATTCCAAGTCCTTCCTGCCTCAGCACCTGGCTGCCCACAAACAGGTCCTAAGAACTGGTGCTGGCCCCTCACTCACTCAGAGCTCTGCTCTGAGGGTTCTTCTCAGAGAAGCCTCCCTGACCCCATGCCCTGTTTCCTTACCAGGCTCTCATTCTCCTTGTGGCCTTAACTGGAGCTGACTGTCCACTGAGGGCCAAAGCTCCAGGGAGCCATCAACTAGGCTCTTAAGTGCACTGTCTAAAAAAATTTGACAGCCTCTGTTCCTAATCCCATCTAAAAGCATTCCAATATCACCACAAATTCAAACAGGAATCAGTCAGTCCCAGTGACAGGTCAGGCCCAGTTACCTGTAGAAGCAATACCAGCATGATTAAGAAGCTTCACCTATTCCTTTTCTGTATTATTTCTGAGCTTCCTTAACCTACCTCTTCCCTCAGTGCTAACAAATGGACTTCTAGGATAAAGCTTGACAAACTTCAGGCTCTTTAACCGCAGGCAAAAGAAATCTTCACAAGATAGGAGAAAGCACTTTCCCAAGAAAGCAGATCCTGTTCTGAGTCCTCAAGTCATCCTTGAGAGACCTCCCATGGTCTGTGTGGTCACCTGATCTCCCGGGAGGTTCATATTCTGCCAGGCTGTCTCACCCCAAAATGTGGTGCTCTAGATGGTAACATTCCAAGTGAAGTATGTTTTGAGGGATAAATCCTTTGCACTTCCTTTAAGTCAAAGCGGATACTAAGTCTTCATCCAGTCTCCCGTGCACAGAGGCAACACAGAAAATGACTGGACAGTTTTCCCATCTTGACAAGAATTTGAGAGTCTGGTTTCTTCTAAATGAAAATGTGTACATACACTTGACTCAGATTCAGGCCAATGTCACTCTCTGAAGGCTCTCTTGGATGTAGCTTCTGGGAAAAGGCTGTTCTCAGCATTAGGTGGGAGCCAGAACTGAGGATGGCAGGTTATCTAGGCTGAGGGAAGCATACAAATATGGGGGCATCTCTGCTGGGGAGGCAGGTAGAACTAGGGCAGAGGATCAGAGCCCCAGTCAGCCAGGCTGCAGTTTGAGCTGAGGTCTAGTTTTAGTAGGAAACAGGTGAAAACCAAGACCAACAGGAAAGTGCCATCAACCCTCTAGCCCATGGCTCTCCAGGGCAGATGTAAACTCATCCTGGCTCTATGCTGACGCACTCGATGGACAGGAGTGGTCCCTGGACCCACTGCGCCTGGCATCTGCTGGCTGGGCTCCAAGGACTGTTCTCCCACAAGGACTCTCGTCATTCTACCTGTGGCTTGTCACTGATGTGCAGTCTCCTGATGAGCTGAGGGCAAGGATCCTGTTTTTTTCATCCCGGAATCCCTAGTTACTTGGCTGGAGACTGTACACACTGCTGCTCCCAAAATATTCTAGATAATCATCCTGTCTGCCTAATTCAAGCAGGTGCTTAATGGCAGAGACTGGACATATTCACTTCTCTAAGCCCTGTGCACACCAAGCAATAATTGTTATAAGTGGAACCGATCTGAGGTCATTGTTTTGGTCTCATTTCACAGATCTGTAGCCCTGGTAACTGCTACAGCCACGCAGGAAACGCAATCTACCTTGCCAGAGCAGAACACAGCCCTGACCTAAAGGTACGTGCTCTGTCACTCCAGTGTAGCTCCTTCACTGTCTGGGCCAGACCGCCTGGAACATGAAACTTTGGGTATCTAGCTGCAGCAGGACTCCCTGGTAACCTCACTCGCCCTTAGAAGCCAGGGTCTCAGTAAGAGATGGGATTACTAGGTTTGAGGTCCAAGGGCAAACATGCACCCAAGCACTCTGTAGGCCCTGGGCCTGTCAGAGGGCCCGCAGCAGTGTCGAAGCCGAGAAGAGGGACCCTGACAGCCTCGCCAGCCGCGGGTGCAGGGCCGAGGTCTCCTTCACCTCGATTCGCACGGAGCAGGTCCTCGCGGACCTCGCCCTCGTCCCCGCGGAACCAGGGAGCCGAGAGAGCGGTGGCCGATGCCCTGGGTGGGGGGTCCACAGGACGGACGCCAGAGGGACCCAGCGAGTTCCCGTATGGAGGTCGGGGCGGGTGCGCTCCCCGCAGGGTCCCTGGGCCGGAATGGACGCGTCCTTATTTATCAAGGCCAGCCGCACCCCAGCTGCCTGGCGAAGAGCACGGGGGAATCTTCTCTTTCGAACAGCTGCGCCTCTGCGCCGGTCGGAAAGGCCCGCCGCTGGCCCCGCCCTTTCTGGCGCCGTTCTAGGAAGCGAAATCGCGGGCCTCTCGGTGGTGCGCCCTAGCCCACCCTCGGTACCCGCAGGAAGAGCCGGCTCCCACGCTGGCCGTTTCCGGTGCCGTTCTAGGCGGCGAGGCCCCAGCCTCTCGGTGGTGCGCCACGGGTGACCCCGCCCCCGAGCGAGCTCCTCCTACTCACTCGGGTCGCAACACACGGCCCGTTACGCCGGCCGCCCACCCAGTCTCGCCCCACTGACCTCCGCACTCCCTGCCTTCCTCTCCTGCCCCCATCACTCACCCCAGCCCTCCTCGCTCCCCTCTGCACCCCCTCCCTCACTCGTGCCCCCCACCCCCGCCACCTGTTTGAGTTCCACAGAAGCAGCAGGCCTGCCGTGGCCTGCGTTCAGCCGCCCTGGCCACTCCCTCTGCCTGGAACACTTGTCCCCAGCTGTCTTCTTGGCTCACTCCCACTTACCGCCTATGGAGAGCTCACTTCCTAGAGGGGACCCCTACCTCTGACTGCCCTGGGGGTGTGAGTTTTCTGGTTATCACAAGCTTAGCAGCTCAAAACAATACCTGTTTGTGATATCAGGGTTCCTTTGTTGTATCACGGGTTCCTCTATCACGGTTATATCACTTTTCCTATCCACCGGTTGTTATATCACGGTGGGACAGGAGTCCAGGCGCGGCTTAGCTGGTCCTCTGCGCAGTCTCCCAAGGCCGCAGTCAAGGTTCTTGGCGTGCGGCGAGGATCTTCCACACTCGTGTGGATGTTGGCAGGCTTCCTTTCTTGTGTGACTGAGGGCCAGCTTCTTCTGGGCTGTCGGGCGGCTGACCTTAGGTCTTTCAGATCCCCCACAGTTGCCTGCCACGTGGCCCGCTCCGTGCTCCTTTAGGGTCAGCGGAAAACCTCTGGCCCCAGTCTGCTGGGGTGAAGTCTCCTTACTAGGAGACTAGTAAGGAGGAGACCTAACCTCCCATCACCTCTGCCGTAGTCCACTGGTTAGGAGCACGTCTTGGATGCCACCGGCACTGTTGGTGATCATATTTTGTAATACTACAGTATTCTGCCTCTTCCTCCACCTCCTGGTACCACCCTTCCCTATGTTTTTTTTTTTTTTTCCATAGCACTTTCCACTTTCCAACAGGCTATGTAATTTCCTTATTATTGTGTTTATTATGTTCATCTTCCCTTCCCACACCAGAAAAACAAGTCTTCTGGGGGTGGGCTGTTTTGCTTTTTCTGTTTCCTGACGTGTCCTTCCAGTAGCCTGGTGGGGCTCTCATTATGGCAATTCAGTGAATGGGCACTTGGCCCTGATGCCCCTAGATGCTGCCTTCTCTCACGTGTCTCTGGCTCTGGCTCCTGTTGTGCATCTGTCCCTTAGACTTTATCCTTGCAGGAGCTTCAAGTACTGCAGTCTCAACATACTCAAGACCAAATTCCACTCTATTCCCTCTTCGTTGCTACTATACTATATTCGATAATGGAGTGGTAGCCAGGTCTTTTACCAGCAAAAGCAAATTTATTTGGGAATAGCCCAAGGAATTGCAATTCAGGAAATTGGAGCTGTCGTGGCTCGGAGGTAAATCCAGAGAGTGCTGCAGGCGTGCACTGGACCGGAGGAGTCGGGCGACGTTATTGTGGTTCTTCCTAGACACTGATTACTGAACTGTGGGTGTTTCGTTTCCTCTACTACGTGTCACACAAATATACTTAGGAAAGCTAACATCTGCCCCCTCAGGCTTACAGCTGATGGCGAGGGGTGGGTGGTAAGTATATCCATTTTCCAATTCTGTAACTTTACCGATGTTCGTGCACTTACAGACTTACTAGGAGGTAAATCCTTGGGCATTACCTGAGCCTGGATGGGGAGAGGGTCGGGCAAGGGAAGCTGGGCATTCCCGCATGGTATGCGTGCACCCTGGGCGGAGGCGGGCTCTGTCTGCAGCTGGTGGATCACAGCCTGGCCCTGGGGATGTCCCAGCAGCCGCGGCTTTCAAGGGTTTCTCGCCCGGGATGTCCTGAGGTTGGGACTTCACAGGCCTGCTCCTCTCTAGGATGCCTGCTCTGTGGGGCTGAGATCCCACCTGCCTCCACCTCCACCAAGTACCCCACCTTTCTTTCTGGGAGGGTTATGAAGCTGAGTAAGGGGGCACCCCAGGGGGCGGCTTTTGCCATGTTACTCCAGTATAGCCCCCGCCCCAGTTCTCCACCTGTGGGAACCCAGAGCCGCCCTGGTCCCACAGGTGAGGGCAGCTTTGCTCTGCTCTGACCGCCATCCTTGACACTGAAACACCTTTCTGCATCCCCGTGTCCCCCCCAGCCCCTCGTTCTCAGGCTTGATGCCTTCCAGTGCCATGGCTCTGACTCCCCTCTGTTCCGGAGAGTTCCTGGTGGGACTGGGTGCCACAGAGTCAGCGGCCTCGCTCAACTCCTGCCGCTGACCAGTGCCCGAGTCCGTCAGCTTCTGCAAACCCTGGCGGTCCCCAGAGGGCGCCGCTCGGTCTGTCCAAGGCCGACGGCTGGGAATCTCTGTCCTTAGGAATGTCCTGCTTTGGGGTCACTGCTTTATCCTCACCCAGTTCTCATGGTTGAGAACAAGGACAGGAAATGTGACCATGGCCACCTGCTTCCTGTGCTGAGGAAGTCCGGAGAAAAACACCAAATGAATGGAACCGGTGTGGGGTGGGGTGGCCACGGGGGACCTGCCTGCTGGGACAGGACCCCCGAGCCCCTTGTCCAACTGGTAACTCGGGTGAGCCCAGCAAAGAAGGAAATTCAGCATTCTCCTTGAGTTTGCTGCCAACTCCAGGGCTGGGTGGGGACACCGGACCTGAGGGGATCCCAGGAGGTGGTTTCTAGTGGGGTTGGTGCCGCAGCTGGAGAGGGGGTGGAGAAGGCCCGGGGGATGGGGTTTGCAGGCCGGCAGAGGCCTGTTTGCATTTATGAAGAAGATCTGTGGGAAGGACCTGGTGCCCCAACCTTGGCTGCTGTTGCCATGGGGCTTGTGGGGGACATAGGCAACCTTAGGAGCAGATGGACAGAGTACTGGGGGAGCCAGCAGGAGCAGGCAATGCTGCCTGGCCACCAGCTGTGTGCATCAAGGCCACAGATGGGGCCTGGTGCTCAGGAGTCGAGTCTTGGCTTTTTGAACCAAGCTCCAGCCATCCCAGCTCCTGTCTGCCTGCACATCCCCCTGGGCCAAGCCTTCTCTGCCAGGCCCCTGCCCCTCCTCCCCATCTCCACCACTCTGGCAAACACTTCCTTTAAATTCAATTCAGGATATTGACTGTGCTCTGTGCCCCCAACAGAGCCCTGTCTTAGCCGCTTATGACGGACTGAACTGCGCCCCCAGATTCATGAGCTGAAGTCCTAACATCAGGACCTCAGGATGGGCCTGTGTTTGGAGACAGGGGTTTTTAAAGGTGATTTAGGTACTCAGCATTCAGAAAACTAAGACCCTGGCACCTGGTCCCATCACTTCCTGGCAAACAGATGGGGAAACAATGGAAACAGTTACATTATTTTTTTTGGGCTCCAAAATCACTGCAGATGGTGACTGCAGCCATGAAATTAAAAGACGCTTACTCCTTGAAATAAAAGTTATGGCCAACCTAGACAGCATATTAAAAAAGCAGAGACATTACTTTGTCAACAAAGTTCTGTCTAGTCAAAGCTATGGTTTTTCCAGTAGTCACTTGAGAGTTGGACTATAAAGAAAGCTGAGCGCCAAAGAATTGATGCTTTTGAACTCTGGTGTTGGAGAAGACTCTTGAGAGTCCCTTGGACTGCAAGGAGATCCAACCAGTCCATCCTAAAGGAGATCAGTCCTGAATATTCATTGGAAGGACTGATGCTGAAGCTGAAACTCCAATACTTTGGCCACCTGATGTGAAGAACTGCCTCATTTGAAAAGACCCTGATGCTGGGAAAGATTGAAAGCAGGAGGAGAAGGGGACAACAGAGGATGAGATGGTTGGATGGCATCACCGACTCAATGGACATGAGTTTTGAGTAAGTTCTGGGAGTTGGTGATGGACAGGGAGGCCTGGTGTGCTGTGGTCCATGGGGTCACAAAGAGTTGGACACGACTGAGCGACTGAACTGAACTAAGGTACATGAGGTCATGAGAGTGGCCCTAACCCAAGCTGACTGGTGTCGTTATTAGCAGAGCAGGTCAGGACACAGACACACACAGAGGAATCAGTTCACACAGTCTTGGAGGCCAAGAAGCCCCCAGTCCACTCCCTGGAAGCAGGAGAGCGGGTCTGTGGTGGTGTCATTCCCTCTGAGCCCTAAAGGCCCGAGAAGCAGGAGTTCTAATGTTGGCAGGCAGGACAGGATGGGCATCCCAGCTCCAGAAGAGGGAATTGGTCCTTCCTGCCTTTTGTTCCGTCTGGGCCTTGGATGACCTGGGTGATGCCCACTCACATGGGGCAGTGATCTTTCTCAGGCCCACCGTTCGCATGCCAAGTGCTTCTGGAAACACCCTCACAGAAACATCAGGAATAATGTTTTGCCAGCTTCACGGGCATCCCTTAGTCCAGGCACGCTGACACACAAAATGGACTATCATGGCCTCCAAGGGGAACACAGCCCTGCCATTCCTTCTGACCTCCGGACCACAAGATAACTCGTGTGTGTGGTTTGTGGTCATTTGCTTCGGCAGCCATGGGGAGCAGGGCCCCTGATCTGGATGGACGTGTTCCCCGCCAGCCTTCTGGGAAGGCACAGAGGTGCTGCTGGGCTGGATGGGAGGGAGGGGCTGACCACACAGCTTCCCGGGGCCTCTGGCTTCTCCTTCCGGGGACTGGCCTTGAACGCCGAGCCCTGTGACAAGGCTCTGGCTGTGACTGTCCACTGGTACCTCAGACTGGACTCGGCCTGGGGATCTAGCTGGGTCTTGGCCGCCATCCAGCTGCTTGCAACCTCTGGCTCAGGTGCCCTGGCTCTGCCGTCCACCGGCCTGTGGCCTCCCGGGAAGGCGGCCACTGTTGACCAGAAGCCCCGGGCTGGGTCCCGGACCTGCTACCACCGACTGCGTGGCCCCGGGCAGACATGTCGCCTCTGTCGGGTGGACTGTTATGTGCCAGGACAGTGAGGAGGACAAACCTCCTTACTAAGAGTTTTCCCTTAGTGAGGAGAGGGGAAAACAGACGGTGGGCGGCCACTCTGCCTGCAGGGATGCTGGGCAGGCAAGATGGAGGTCTGGGCTTCCCTGCACAGGATGTTGAGCTGGTGGGCACCAGGGTCCTCTGTGCCTTGTTCCATACCGCTCTGATGGGGAAACTGAAGCCCAGCCCTCTCCGGGGCTTGGCTCCGTCCAGGCACCAGTCACGAAGGCCGAGCGCCCAGCAACCAGCGACACCCGTCCAGTGGAGCAGAGACTGAGGAAGCCGTGGGGCTCCTGCTCTGCCCTGCCGCTTCTCCCTGACTGCCCCTCCTCTGCCCCGTCCCCCCGCAAGCTGAGTGGTTGGTTGCAAAGTCCCATCTGAGCCACACACCACCTGCCTCCCTCTCTTTTCTGTTTGTCTTCCAGCCCCTCATTAATTCCATTCACCCCCAAGCAGCCCTGGGTGGGGCCCTTTCCTCCTGTAGGCCAAGGAAACCTTCCTCCCCAAGTCTCCTCCCTGAAAGGGCTGCCCGTCACATGGATGGATGGAGGTTTTCTCCGGCAAGAAGTTGGGGAGCAAACTGGGGTGGGCTCCCCACTGGCATGCAGTGAGTGTTTTCTCTCCTGGGGGCGGGGAGCCGTGTGGACCCACCCTGTGAGCCGCTGAGGCCTGGACCTAAGGCCCACGTGCTGGCCATCTGCCAGGGAGAGGCAGGGAGAGAAGGTCAGGATGCTGGAAGGGGAAACCGAGGAAGGGCAGCCGTGGCCGAGAGGAACCAGTGCGGCGGGGTCATCACAGGTGCTTCCAGTTTATTCTCCATGGTCCAGGGGAGGGGACAGCGGATAGAGTGCTGGCCAGCCAGGGTGCAAGCCAGGCTGGGCACGAGGAGGGACCGCCCCACTCAAAGCGCCATCGCCTGAAGACCGGCCAGGAGGCTGAGCAGGAGGGTGGCAGCCACAGTTGCAAGGCTCCCCCGGGGGCCGCCTGCCCCTCTCCCCTGGGGGTCCTGCCAGGGTGGGGTGTTGCACAGGCTGGACTGGCAGCAGGATATGGTCGTCAGGGATCCTTCCACAGTCCTGCTGGTGGGATGACACGTGTCTGCACACCACCCCGAGTAGGTGGTCTGGGGACCTGACTCTGTGGGGGGAGAGAGCAGGTCACACGTGACAGGACATGGCAGGGACGGGGCCCCTCACAGGCATGGGTGACGCTGTCCCGCCACCCCCGGTGGCTCCTCACCAGCGTTCCAGGAGGAGACAATGGCTTTGCACGTCTTGGGGAGCACGCAGCTCTGCACCTGCCGGCAGCTCTCCCCCTTGTGCAGGGACTGGCACGCGTAGCACTGTGGCCCTGGGGGGCCGGGTGGGCTCAGCTGCGTGAGGGGCACAGCCCCGGAGCACCCCCAGCTCACCCAGGCCTGCCGCTTCCCAGCCTCTTCCCCTCCGAGGTCCCTTCCCAGTTCCTGTCCGCCTCTCCCACTCTCTGCTGACCCCTCAAAGCCTGCCCTGCTGGAGCCCCCTGCACCCGCACCTCAGGACTGGCCCCCTTGCTCTCCCGCCCCGCCGCCCTGCCTCCCCGGGACAGTTGTGTATTTCTGAACTGGACTCCACACCCAGGGCCTTTGAGTCGCTGGTCTCTCCATCCTGGGGCTCTGCTGTGCCCCGGTCTGCCTGGTGAACTCCTATTTAACCTCTCTGCCCCAGCACCATTGCCCTTCCCAGGACCGGCTCCTTCTCTAGCCCCCTCCTCTGGATGGCAGTTGGGGGTCACTGCCAGGGTGAGAACTGAGGGTGTGCTGAGTGTCAGGGGCCCCTCTTCCCCCTTCCCCTGCCCTGAGGGCAGGGACGCTGGCAGCGGATGTCTCTTCCTGTGGGTTCCTCACTGTCAGCCTCGAGGCACGCAGGCAAACACTGAGAAAGAGGGTGGCGTGCCCCCACGCTGGGGAGGGGTGGGCAGGTACCTGAGCCCCTGCTGCCCGCAGGCGTGCTGGCCTCCTCTTCCTCCTCGTCCTCCTCATCGTCGTAGCCTTCGCGCCCAGCGTCCGGGTCGTCATCCTCGTCCTCCTGTGCCCGCCCTCTCCCTGGCCGCGCAGGGACGCCTGTAAACCTCCACTACCCAGGCACAGAGGACACAGGCTCGGGGCCCAGTGCCGTGCCCTCTCCCCTCGGTCCAGCACCCCCTTTCCAGTCCCTCTGACCTCCCTGCCGCCTCCCGAGCTGGTGAGGTCGCTGCCTGGGTCTCCGAGCCCCGGCCCCGCCTCCTGACTGGCGTGCAGCCTGGCGGCATCCTTGCCAGCAACACTAGGGGTTGGGCGCTGGCCCTTCACAGCCCCACACTCCGGCCCCTGGATGGCGGGCACCGCCAAGCCTGAGAGGCTGAGACTGGGTGGGGTTGGGTGGGGAGGATCGCTGGCACCTGGGCGTGTGGCTGGGGCCAGGGCTGCAGGTTTGGGGACCCGTGTGGACCCAGGACAGCCCACCCACCTCCCTCTGGCCTCGGCCTGCAGGTGCCCCCTGTCCTCCTCCCCAAGCCACGTCTTGCCCCTGGGTGAGGTGACCCTGAGGGCCTGCGGCCTGGACCGGGCCGTCCCTCTCGCTGCAGGGCCGCCCCTCACCCCAGGTACCTTGCTGCCCGCACCACAGCAGGGCCAGCAGGACAGCCACCAGCGCCTTCATCCTGCGGGGCTACCACCTCTGCCGCGTCTGCTCACCAGGGCCTCGCCGGGCCTCTGGATCTGTGGGAAGTGGGACAAAGGGCCTTGCTGGGGGCTTCCCAGGGCCCCGGGCCCCCCAGCTCCAGTCTCAAACAATGGACCTCACACTGGCCCCCAGGCCAGGCACTGGGCCAGGGATGGTCATTTCCCACCCTGACTCCAGAGGCGGGGGAAGGGAAGTCACTGCGGCGGCCGGTGGGGTGTCCTGCCCTCCCGAGCGGCTCCGCCCCAGCCTTGCAGCCTCAGCCCTGCAGTGCGGGCTGGCCAGTCCCCGCCCCGTGTCTCCCCCTGAGACCCAGGTCCGGGCATCAGCCATGGGAGCCTGGCCTCGTGGACCCTCCAGCTGCATACCGCTGAGCGGCACCGTCAACCACGAGTCGGCTGCGTCCTCTCCCGGGACCTTGTTAAGAGCATTTCAGAGTGAAATGGGCCGCCGCTGCCCTCCGCCCCACCCAGGGCCTCCGTGCTGCTGTCTCCTCTCCCTGGGATGCGGCCCCTGCTGATGTCCCCGAGGCTGTCCTGTCCGGGGGTGGCATGCCCTCTATCAGACAGAGAGCTTCAACCAAGGAGGTCAGTGGGAGACTGGACCAGACATCTGAGTCCTTGTGATAGCTAGCAAATATTTGCAAACTACCGCTTCCTGCTTAAGTACAGGAAGATAAAGGATAAAGACTCTCAGAGGAAGAGCCGTCTGTTTCTGTGAAATGAAACCAGCCCCCCCCAAAACAACAAACAAAAAACCAAACAAAAACAAAAACAAACAAACAAAAAAACCCCAAAAACAAACAAAAAAAGAAACCAGCCCGTTCTGCACTGGCTTCAGGGTGGTGATAGTGTTTCGCTGAGGAGGCAGCTGTTAGGGTTAGGGAGTGATGGGGGAGGAGGCGGTGCGATCGTGGGTGAGTGACCGGTGATGGCTCTTGGGTCTCCTGTTGCGAGTTCTCTAACAAGTTCATTATTGCACACACCCTTACCCTTGATTTGCTAAGAACAGCCCACCCAGTGGAGCACGAAACCACCTGTAGACTTTATTAACGTTGGTATAATGAGTTGGGTTTGCGAGAGGTTGTATGCCTGTCTAGTTTGGGCACGGGCAGCCGTGGGCAGCCGTGGGCAGCCGTGGGCGTTCTCTTGTGTCACCGTGCTGTCTCTCTATCAGGGTAAGCTGCCCACCGCCACACCATAGTTTTGCCCCTTCTGGATGAGGTTGGGGTGGGGTGGTCCTCAGATGGTTGGGGCTTAGCTTGATCCACCACCTCTTGTGTTTCCGCCTCTGTCACCTCCTTGCAGCTCATGTCTGACTACCGCAGAGCCCCACATGCCACCAACTCCTCCTTCTCTCTCCATCCCTCGTGTTGGCCTCCTGCCCTCTGGAGCCGGCCTCCGGGACTGCTGGGAGCCTGCCTCTTCCTGCCAGCGCTGCACTGTGTGAGGGGGCTGCCCGCTCACCCCTTCCTCCTCTGTGGGCTGCAGGGTGGGCGCTGAGAAGCCCCTTCCTTGAGGCCAACAAAAGGTGGGCCAGGGCAGGAGGCTAGACTCAGGCCTGGAGTCAGGGCTGCGAGCCTGCCCCCGTTGTTCACCGGGGCTGCTCCCTGAACTTGCCCAGCCTGAGTCTCCCCGTGGGTGGGACATCCTCAGGGGCACTTGGAGCAGAGACTGAGAGCTGGTTCTTGGGTGAGACCGTCTGAGCCTGAGCCCAGGCCTCTTTCCCCTGATTCTGTGGGCTTCCGCACTCTCGAAGCGGTCATGGCCATCAAGAGCCAGTGCCTGCTGGCCTGTAGAACAGTGCCTGGCACAGTGCCCCCCAGGGCCGGCTGGTATGACCTTCCTCTGAAGTCTCAGCCACCAAGCATCATCCTCCCGCCCCCGTTCCTCTGAGCCAGTGCACTGTCTTCTCCCTGTGGGCACTGGGCTGCTTGAACAGCCTCCGCTTCTGTGGGGAGCTGCCTGGCCTCTAGTCTCTGATTGTCAGCTGTCCCCAGCCCACCCCCATCTGGAGGCAAAAATTGCTCTCCAGACAGGGTCATCCTCCGTGCTCATGGCCCAGGACCTGCCCTCTGCATTCCTCAGGCTGGTGTTCGTGGTGGCCTGCGTGCTGGCCCTGCACACTGCCTTCCTCCTGCAGGTGCTCTGACCTGGGCTTCCAGGAGCTGCTCCCAGGCAGGGCCCCATGGGGGTTCCCAGAAATGTTAGAGAGCAGGGGGTCTCCACCTGCCGCCTGACCCCCCAGACAGGCCCAGCTCCTCCTTGGCCCAGATGCAAATAAAAAATAACATCATTTAATTCACTAGTTAAAATTATATACCACTTTATTGGTCCTCAACAACTCTAGGGGTGTGTAGTGTTACCATCGCTACTTTACTGACAGGGAGTTACTGCCAGGGTTGGACTCTGCCCCCTCCTCACCACCCCTCCACTCCAGGGCGCCCCTCCCCCTCCTCTCCCCCAGCCCTGCCCTGCTCCCTCATCCCGTCCCAGGAGAGGCAACGGGGGCTGGCCCTCCCTACGCAGGCGCAGTCACACGGCCAGGCCAGGCCAGGGCTGGGGTCCCACAGGAGTGGTCGAGGCCCCTAGTCCTCAGGTCAGAGTGAGTATATGCCGGCTCCGTCCCCACCCAGCTGTCTTCAAGCATTCTGGCCGCAAAATCGACCCCTCCTGGCACTCTCTGACCCCAGGCTTCAGGGACAAGGGCCTCCCTGAAGACCCCTGGGGTGGAGACATGCCTCCCTCAAACTCCCAGGGCCAAGGCTGAGGGCTGGAGGCCCCGAGGGCAGCTGAGGCCCACTTTAGAGCCTCTGCCTTTGGACGTCAGTGCTTTCTCCCTCAGCCTTGCCCACACACACAGGCAGCCTGGGGCCCAGCTTCCAGCCCAGAGACCCATGCCTGACATGGGCCTGGCCTTGCCTGCTCTGCCCTGCTCAGTTGGGCTGGCTCCCGAGAGTGGCCTCGTGGGCGCTGCTGGTCTGGTCCCCTCCCAGCCTGCCCTGGCCTCCCTCGGCCCACTGGCCGTCCACACCCCTCCTGCCTGGGTAGAGGGGGAGCTGGAGGGGGTGGGCATGGGCCCTGCTCTCTTTGGGGAGCTGTGTGGCCCTGTCCTGGGCTATGAGCCCCTACCCCAGGTCTCTGGGGTCACCAATGTGAATCGGACCCAGACCAGGGAAAAGATGTTCAGTGTTTCTAACTGAGGGGCTGAGGTCTGGCATCCTGGGGGCGGGAAAGGCATCTGCCCTGCTGGCCGCACACAGCCATGGGGGAGGGGGGCCTTTAGGGCAGATATGGCTGCAGATGCGCTGGCCCTCATGCCCCACTCCCTGCTCTGGGCTCCTTCCCACGCTCTCTGGGAGAAGAGAGACTGCCTTCCTTCTTAGATCAGGGTCCAGATCCTCCTCCCAGGTGGGCAGGGGCCACGAGAGGTCTCTTATGGATTCTCTCTCTGCTTCCGATGGCCCCACAGTGACTGGCCAATGAGGCAGCTCCCAGGGTTTCTGATGGGGTCCAAGTCTCCCTCTCTCCTGAAATCCATTATCAAGAAACAGGCGGGCAGGGGTGGGCCGGTCAGAGGGAGTGGGCTCTGGGCGGTCTTAGGGGACCCACTCGCCCGTACCCCAGGACCCTGTGGGAAGACGCACTGGGGTGGAGGAGCCCCTGTTGACTGCAGGTGCCCACCCTCCATTTGTTCATTCTCCCGCCTCCACACGTCCAGACCGCAGGTCAATTTTCTCTAACCCTTGGACACTCTCAGCCCATCCACACTGACTCCGGAGAGTCTCACCTGCCATTGCCCCCACCCCCCGCCCCAGCCCCACCAGGGATCCCTAGTGTGCAGCACCTGCTTCGGGGCTGCCTGTGGTGGAACCCCCACCCACGGTGCTTGTCAGCATCCCTGCCCCTGCACCTTCAGATTCCCCACCCCACATTTCTATGAGAAGCCAGGCCTCTCAGGGCAAGGGCCACGAGGTTGCCACGTCCAGACTGGCACCCTGCCCGCCCTCTGCCCAGTGTCGCCCACCCTCTGGATGCCCCCTCCTCTGCTGTGGCCTCCCCGGCACTCCAGCCTCCCCGCCCCAGGCGTTCTTCTGCTCTCCTGTGCTTCCATGCTTCCAGCTCCCCTCTCTTCTGTCTCTTGATTCTTCCTTTATTTTCCCTCTTTTTTTTGTTAATTTAATTTATTTATTTTAATTGGAGGCTAATTACTTTACAACATTGTAGTGGTTTCTGCCATACATTGACATGAATCAGCCATGGGTGTACATGTGTTCCCCATCCTGAACCCCCTCCCACCTCCCTCCCCATCCCATCCCTCAGGGTCATCCCAGTGCACCAGCCCTAAGCACCCTGTCTCATGCATCGAACCTGGACTGGTGATCACATATGGTAATATACATGTTTCAATGCTATTCTCTCAGATCATCCCACCTTCGCCTTCTCCCACAGAATCCAAAAGACTGTTCTTTAAATCTGTGTCTCTTTTGCTGTCTTGCATATAGGGTCATCATTACCATCTTTCTAAATCCCATATATATGTGTTAGTATACTGTATTGGTGTTTTTCTTTCTGACTTACTTCACTCTGTATAATAGGCTCCAGTTTCATCCACCTCATTAGAACTGATTCAAATGCGTTCTTTTTAATAGCTGAGTAATATTCCATTGCGTATATGTACCACAGCTTTCTAATCCATTTGTCTAGGTTGCTTCCATGTCCTGGCTATTATAAACAGTGCTGTGATAAACATGGGGTGCACACGTCTCTTTCACTTCTGGTTTCCTTGGTGTGTATGCCCAGCAGTGGGATTGCTGGGTCATATGGCAGTTCTAATTCCAGTTTTTTTAAGAAATCTCCACACTGTTCTCCATAGTGGCTGTACTAGTTTGCATTCTCACCAACAGTGTAAGAGGGTTCCCTTTTCTCCTCACCTTCTCCAGCATGTATTGTTTGTAGACTTTTTGATAGCAGCCATTCTGACTGGTGTGAGATGGTACCTCATTGTGGTTTTGATTTGCATTTCTCTGATAATGAGTAATGTTGAGCATCTTTTCATAGGTTTGTTAGCCATCTGTGTGTCTTCTTTGGAGAAATGTCTGTTTAGTTCTATGGCCCATTTTTTGATTGGGTTGTTTATTTTTCTGGAATTGAGCTGCATGAGCTGCTTATATATTTTTGAGATGAATTCTTTGTCAGTTGCTTCAT